GGTGTAACTTGGGCACAACAACCTCAGTCATACCCGCACCCACACCCTCGAGAAATGACGCGTATAATGCAGTATTAAAATTCCATTTAGTAACATTAACGATGTTCTAAACTTTTCGATTTAATATATTTATTAGGAAATTTTTTCTAGAAACATAAGTAATGAAGAATACACAGTTTGCGAAGAGTAGAAAAGAGACTTATTATTGAGTTTTTCTAATACGTTTTCGCAAAAATTTATAATGAAAAATAAGTTTTTATGCTAAAAGATAGTTTCGTTTTTACGAACTAATTATACAAATACGGACTATAGTCACATTTAAATTTATTTCCACGAACGTTTGAGATGAAAAATAAACCTTTGACATAGAAAATATCAAACAAAATTTGGTATTGTGATCATTGGATTAATCTAATTTAATCATAAAGTTTACTAGAAACAAAACAAATTTCTACTTTAACTTGTAAAAAAAATAAAAAATATATTTGTAAATAAATGTTTACAACAGCAATAAATCATACACCATTAAATCATGTAATTCATTCTTCGCATTCATTTTTGATACGTACATCCTCGAAATTTTATTATTATAATATTAGTTGAAGTATATAGATCGTTCTTAACTAGATTATGCAGGAAGAAAGTTCATCAACAGTTTTTACAAGAAATGACTTTATTATCATCATTAATTCTGACACATGCTAAATGTCTCTACAAAATAATTCTGTTTTTAAACGCAGAAGAATCTGTACTCGGCATCGATCTTCACAGATATATTCTTGAATCTTTATTTCTATTAACGTCTGATTTTTGTTTAGTATTATATTTATATCTCAGTAACAACTCATATCAAGATAAAAACAAAAAAAATTATCGAAATTCATTCTTAGAGTAAACTGAAATAGTTATAAACTATTACCTTTCTTTCGATCGATATTATGTGAGTAAAATAAAAAAAATGTTAAAAAAAATATTCAGTATGTATTATTGAAAGTATTCTAATTTAAATCAGCATTATATTCGCCTACACGATTACGTCACTATGAACTATTTTAAATGAGTTTTGAGGAAAAACCTGATATTGAAATCAGATAAGTATAAAAATAAAAAAGACGCACTTCCTTTTAAAAAGTAATTTTAACTAAAATAATTCCATATGTGAACTAGTATTTTCTATCAACACAAAACATATATTAAGTAGGATGCGGAAGCTACGTTTTTTGATTTCATATTTTATGTGATTGTTGATACAAAAATCATGATTTTCTAAAGGAAATCCAATGTTTTTCTGAAAGAGAAATAAATATTATATTCTATGACATATGATAAGTAGGATGAAGAATAAAATAATATTTTTTGTTAGAAGTATATTTTTGTTTGATTCTATATCATATTTAGTAATTATAATAGAATAACTAAAAAAATGAGTTAATTTTATATTGTTTTACTCAATATTATTGCCTTCTAAAAATAATTTCGGAGAAAAATTGATGAGAGAAATTTCTTCTTATAGTTACCTCCTGATAATTTCTCGAATTTACTTATAGATTTTAGATAATAAAAGTGTGAAAATTATACAAAAACTATCAACTATGAATAACAATGCAATAGGAACTTCTAATGTAATTGATTACGTCTAAGAAAAAACAACATAACATAATCTTTCTTTTCTTTTTGATTATTTCAGTCTGGTTCCGTGAATTCTAATGGAATACAACAAAGAACAGTGTATGTATTTTGTGAACTATAATAAATGACTTTTTTTGTTATTCTAGGTGTGAATATTTTCGAAAACGAAAACTGTTCTGTATAATATTTATTATCATTCTTATTGTCTTGATCATAACGATTTCAGTCGTTATTGTTAAAGTGAATAAGACAAACGTTAAAAGTACATCATCAACAGAAACATCGATAACAACAGAAGCATCATCAATTGAGACAGCAGACACAACAACAAAAGGTATTTTTTCTTTGACAAATTACATCAGATCGTAGTACTAGAACTTTACTGTTTATAATAATAAGTACGACGTCATATTACCAAAGAATAATATCGAAAATTTCCATATTTATGGGTAAAAATAAGTTTTAAACCTCATTTTGTTACATTTCTTTCATTTATTTATTCAGTAAAACTATATTTTTTGAGTTTTGTCTAGGGGGAAACAGCGGACTTCAAGACTTCAAAGACTTCAAAGACTTCAAGAGACTTCAAGAGACTTCGATAGACTTCAAAAGATTTCAAAGATTTCAGCAGACTTCAATAGACTTCAAAAGATTTCAAGAGACTTCACAAGACTTTGAAGGCTTCAATAGACTACAAAGACTTCAAAATACTTCTAGGATTTCAAGACTTCGATAACTTCAATAGACTTTAAAGACTTCCAAAACTTCAAAAGACTTCCAAGACTTCATGAGACTTCACGCATGAAGTCTCTGTTATTTATCCCCCGTCTCCTCGTGGAATACATGCATGCATAGAAATTCTCGAAGACTTCATGAGATTTCATAAGACTTCACGAGACTTCATAAGACTTTATGAGACTTCATAAGATTCCGCAAGACTTCATAAGATTTCATAAGACTTTATGAGACTTCATTAGACTTATGGGACTTCATTAGACTTCAGGCGCGAAGTCTCTGTTGTTTCCCCCTCGAGTTTTGTTTTCAAATTTTTACTCGCATAAAACTTTACTGGGCTAAATTGTATGATAAGTTGTTAAAATTTTCAATAATTTTTTCTTCGAGAGGTATCATATTGAAAAATGTTTTGAACAAGTTAGTTCAGCTGAGACTTTTCTCTTCGTGAAAATTGAAAAACATAATTCTACTGATTAAGTGATTTGTTATGAATAAAAATAAACAAAGCAATTGAATATCTTAGATTATTTTCGAATAGAACCTGTAACTATCACATCTTTAAAGAGAGAGAAAAAATATTACTTAATTCATTGTATTTTTTTAATTTTTATTAACTTCAAATCGAAAGAAATTCATTGATATGTTTTCTATTTATTTTATAGAACAATTATTTCCTTCTTTTGTTGTTATTACCAATACTACATGGATGAATGATAGTGTTATTGTTGCTGGAAGTGGCAAACCGGGATATTTATTAAAGGATCTCAATCACCCCCGTGGTTTCTATATTGATGGTAGAGATCAAAGTATTTTTATTGCTGATATGAACAATCATCGTATTGTCAAATGGAAAGTTAATGCAATGGAGGGTGAACTTGTTGCAGGTGGTCATGGTAGTGGCGATGACATGGATCAGTTGTATCATCCAACAGATGTCATTCTTGATAAAAACAAAAACTTTCTCATCATTTGTGATTCATCTAACGCTCGAGTGGTACGCTGGTCTCTATATAATGATAAAAATCAAGAAGTAATGATTTCTAATGTTAACTGCTACGGTCTAGCGATGGATAATAATGGAGATCTTTATGTTTCTGATGAAGAAAAGCATGAAGTAAAACGATGGAAACAAGGAGAGATAAATGGTATAATTGTAGCAGGTGGAAATGGACGAGGTAATAAGGTTAATCAACTCAATTCTCCTTATCATATTTTCGTTGATAACGATTATTCAGTTTATATAGCAGACTTTAATAATAATCGTGTAATGAAATGGATAAAAGATGCAACCGAAGGAATTGTTATTGCTGGTGGAGGAGATCAAACGAATAAGCCTTATCCATTATTTCGTCCTTGGGGAGTGATTGTTGATCATGTGGGTAATATCTATGTATCAGATAGCGAATACAACAGAGTAGTACGTTGGTTACCAGATGCAATAGTAGATTGTATTGTTGTTGGTGGAAATGGATTTGGAAGTGGAATCCATCAGATGACAGTTCCTACTGACCTATCATTTGATCGCCAAGGTAATCTTTATGTTGCTGATACAAACAATCATCGATTACAAAGATTTGACATTAATATTAAATAAAACTGTTTATTATAATGAAATGATTGCTTATGACTATAAATTCTTTTTTGTTGAAAACAATAAAATAAAAAAATTATAAAAGCAAACAATGAAAATATAAATAATTGTATTTATTATTCAATCTGAATTAACACTAGGAATTCAAAAACCAGATCTATCATATATACTATTGAACATAGCTAATGTTAGTATCCGTGTTATTCGACTTTCTGAATTATTTAAACTTATTACGAGATAGTCATCTTTAGATATTGGATCGACACATAATATCGATTTTTTAAATCTTCTTGATCAACAGAGGTGATCAATTGCCCTATTGACTGAAAATAAGTGACCACGTTGTGAAAACAAGAAAACGTGTAGAACATTGATGGTTATACAACGATAAATGAGACATTACTTTTCCTGACACCTTTGTAGAATGGCTCATTAAAAAATGTCGACACTTTTACAGCAATCTGCTCGCAAGTCTTCTGGCATATATCATCAAAACGATTTTTCAACATTTGTTGACAAAAATCATTGACCTATTACAATCTTGACTTAAATTCCTTGCACTATTCTGTATGTGATGAATTTTGCTCGCATTATATAATGAAACCTGCTTGGTATTCATTTTCTATGTATTTTCCTTTATTTCAAAAATATCAGTCTCTTCCATAGACAATTTTCTCACCAATAAGTGCCCATATTTATTAATGCTTCGTAATATTACAAAGTAGAAAAAAAAGTATAAGTCATGATATGAATCAGTTTTTATATTCTTTCTCTTCTGTTACAGATAAAAGAAACACACGTCTTTGCGTATATCACTCAAATCTTTATATCTCCTTTTCTTATCTGAATGATATATTCATTTGAGTCAAGGTTCGTATTCAAACGATTAGTGTAAAAGAAAAAAATACAAAAAAAAAACAAGGAGACTCTCTTATTTTCTAACAGAATGAAAATTTTTGAAACTAAATAAATATTATTACCATGCTGTTTTATTTTCATATATATATATAATAGTGAAGCATGGTCATAAATAGCTACTAATCTTTATTGAAAATACATAAAATGTGGTGGCATTGGTTTGTAAGATTAAAAAATGAAATAGATGAAATAGTTTTAACAATGAAACAAATGATAGCCAGGCCTGTAAGGATGATTCTACATTGTTTTTGGTTGATGATTACATTACAAGAAAAAACTTGGATTGAAAATGCTAAACAATTAGCCGAACAAGATAGATTGAATAATGATGATGTTGGACCAAATGACATGATTCAAGGAACAGCTCTAGCAGTAAGTTAGAATTAAATAGTTTTTCCATTAAACTAATTTGTCCCACTCATGAATCTAAACTTCCTTCTTGGAAAAGACTGATGTGGTTTTACAACGTAAAAAATCGCATAAACATTTCATATTACATTGTTTTGCTTATACTTTTAGTACGAAATGACTCCACCAACGTTAGCAGTTCGTTCAGCATTAAGATTACAATTCTGGAAATTCTATTGGAATCATCTACGTGAACAGATTAGATTATCAAAAACACTTCCAGTCAGTCTTACAGAAACTGGTCAACCTGTACCAAACACCGCACAATTGATTCCAGTTGTAACAGAAAGTATTGATTTATTGACTAATTACAGAGATGTTGAACCAATTAATTTACGTTCATTAATGAAACATGGACGTTATTTAGTAATTAATTTTGGTAGTTGTACATGACCACCGTTTTTAGCAAGTTTATCATCGTTTATGAAACTTGCTTCATATTATCAAAAATTAAATTATCCAATTGATTTTATCATAATTTATATACGAGAAGCGCATGCGTCTGATGGATGGAAATTTGATGGAAATGAATTTAGTTTTATACGAAATCATCGAAATATAAATGAACGATTAGATGCTATTCGAGTCTTGGTAGAAATGGCAAATATTACGAAAGATACTAATATACATATTTATTCTGATATTATGAATGATATAACAAATCATTTATTTCGTGCTTGGCCAGAAAGATTATATGTTTTACATGATGAAAAAATTTTATATCAAGGTCAGAGAGGACCAGTTGGATATTCAATACCATCATTAGATTATTTTTTAAAGAAGAATGTTATTCTTTCAAATTAAGTTATTTTTTTATTTTTCTTTGCTTGTGATGATTTGTATTGAAATTGGTTCAAATACCAAAGATACAAAACTGATTTTTTTTCAAGAAAAATAAAATAAATAAATTAGTTTTAATTCATATTCTAAATAGGACTTAATGAGCTTTATCTCATGACAGTCAACTACACATCTGCGATGTATTATCCGTTACTGTTTTTTTTTGAAAAATACAGTGAATATTTACAAAGAACGTGGAGGTCATAGAAGATCCTGTTGATAGGACATGAATTGAGTGGAGATAATAAACCAAAATACAATTCTTCTTTTTGCGTTTGACTGAGGACGTATCGAAATTTATGATAATACACTTTTGGTGAAGGCTCGATTCATAATGCAATTACATACTTTTTCTTCAAGCGAAGATTTCTCCGTGATAAGAATGGGTTGAATATAGAAAGCATCTTTTAGTTTTTCCAATGATAAAACAACATTTATGGAAATATTCTGATTGTTCGTAAAGTGTATAAAATATTGATGCATATTCATTAATATATTAGCTGTTGGTATTTATTTTGACATGAATAATCAATGAGTAAACTTGATATATATATTACAACTATACTTCGTTTCATTTTTTTGCATGATACAAATCTATCGAATATTTCAAAATGATAACACACTGTTTGACGGAATATCATACCGTAGCAAATGTAAAAAACAGATTGAGATAAAAATCTACAGAGAAATAATATCATTATTTGTTGATTGACATTTCGCATAGCTTGATTTTCTGTCAAAAATGAGTATCGAGAGAAAAAGATCGACAGATACAATCAAAAAGTACAAATAGAAACACCTCGTGAGGGTGAGTGTGAGACATAAATATAATCCTTGCAGCCATAACCAAACACTCAGTCTTGTTTTAGAAATCGATTATAATTGAATTTTTGGGTCTGAAATGTAGTAGACACGTAATTCTATTTTTAATGCAAATACGTAAAACATCGTTCTTTGCGTTAGTGTAGAGTGCAAAAAACTTGAATCATTATGATATGACAAATTCTGTTGTTCGATACTACGTAACTAATTCACTGAGAAATGTGATAGATAGCCATACATCCTTTTCAACTGACTCATGATAAAATAAAATACATTTCAAAATTTTCAATCTATATCATTTTGTATGAGAAAAAGATCAGATCTATGACAATATTATAACTCACATCGCTAATCTTAAGTGAAAATGTTTTGTTGATAAATATCTGTTTGACTGCAATTATATGAAGTTTACATCTTCATGTTTCTCTACTAAATTGATATTATTTCATAACTCACTTTCTATAAGTTTCTGTTGAATATTCTTGATTTTAACGTAAATAAACTCAAGTAGTTCCAGTGACGAGTTCGATTTTTGCCGAGTCATCTATACTCTAAAAACCATGCTTTGTAATTATTATGACAAAGCACGAAGATATTAATAGGGCTTATGTCTCTGTCGTGTATGTCTATATCTTATTTCATAGAACAAAGGCGTATATGATGATATGACGATTTTTTAAAAGTAAGAAATGATATCATCATGATGTAGCAAATACGAATATTTATGGTTGTATATAAAGAGTAAAATTTTTCTCATAAATTTAATCACAACGATGTATCTCGTATTAATTTCTATATTATCTATTCTCTATATTATTTATCTGATTATTAAAAAAGAAAAGAATCTTCCACCTGGTCCAACAGACTATTCAATTCCAATATTTGGTCATTTATTTTCACTTGGTAAACATCCTCAAGAAACTTTATTAAAATGGTGTCAAAATCGTCAAAGTGATATAATTCATTGTTATTTTGGACAAAAATTAGTCATTGTATTAAATAATTATGATTTAATAAAACAAGCATTTCTTGATGATAATTATTCAGCCCGTGCTCAACCATTTATATTTGAAGAACATTTTCATGGTAAAGGTTTAACTTATGCTGATGGTGAACGTTGGTTAATTCATAGAAAATTTGCAATGAATACATTAAAAAAATTTGGAATGGGAAAACATTTTCTCCAAGATACAATTTTAGATGAACTGAAAGATATTTTTTTATCTATTGATAAACAAAATGAAAAACCATTGAATATAAAAGGTTTATTAACTCATGGTCTTTCAAATATTATTTGTGGATTTGCCTTTGGACAACGTTTTTCACATAATGATCAAGAATTTCATCATATTGTTAGTTTAATTGAAGAATGTTTTACACTTGGTTCACATGATTCATGGATAACTATATTTCCATTACTTAGATTTATACCTATTCAATCTTTAAAAGGAAATTATAAACAATTTTCAAAAAATTTTAAAGAAATTTTTAAATTTGCAAAAAAACTTGTTGAAAATCATGATGAAAATATTGATGAAACAAAAGATTATATTGATGAATATTTAAAACAAGCAAATATTGATAAGAAATCAAATAAATTAGATTCAACATTCGATATGGATCAATTAATAACATCGATTACGAATTTATTTATTGGTGGAACAGAAACAACATCAACGACATTACGTTGGGCTTTTGTTTATATGATCGAAAATCCTCAAATATTAAATAATGTTCAACAAGAAATTGATAACTATATGAATAATAATAAGCAACATAATTTATTTATTCATATGGAAGATAAAGAATATTTACCATATACATTAGCAACTATTTTTGAAATTCAACGTTGTGGAAATATAGCAACATTAGGTGGAAGTACAATGCATAGAAATTTACAAGCTACAACATTAAATGGATATAATATACCGAAAGATTCTTATATAGCTGCTAATTTTTATGCTTGTCATGTTGATGAACGATATTTTCCAAATTCAGATCAATTTGATCCAACTAGATTTCTAACAGATGATCATAAACCAGTTCAACGTCCTGCAGGATTTATTCCATTTTCAATTGGAAAAAAATCTTGTCCTGGTGAATCATTAGCAAATATGGAACTTTTTCTTTTCTTTAGTAATTTTATTAGACAATATGATTTTCATGCGGTTAATAAGAATGAAGAAATTAATTCAAAAATATTTTATCATACAAGTTTAACACGTGCACCTTTTGATTATAAACTTTCATTTAGAAAAAGATTTTAAAATATTTAAATAAAACTGTAAATTTTAAATTATATTTATTTTATGCTTTATTGATCATACAGAATGATTCTCTCATAAGAAAGCTTCGATGTTTTACTTTCTACATGCTAATGCCATACATAACAATACACAAGTTGCGAATGTTTTTGATGTAGCAGTGTAATTTTCAAGTTTTGGTTTTTTATTCAAATAAAATCGGTCATGACTGATTTTGTTTATCAGCTTAATAATTTTTATCTTTCTAGATAGAATTGTTACCATCCTATTTTTAGTCACACTTTCATTAACTAACAGAATATATCTAGAGTTGCCCGAGAAATATAAGAATATGTGTGAGTATTCATAGAACAACCTTCCAAACCCAGATTCACACGCATCGACCGTCAGCATAGTTATCTATGGTATTATCTGGATTTTTCTTTCTGTTCTGTCTGAATAGAAGAATATATAGAAAATAAAGGAAAAAAATGGTGTCAGCAGTGGGAGTCGAACCCACGCCAGCATACGCTGACCAGAACACTCCAGCTCACTGAGGAAGCATTACGCCTGAGTCTGGCGCCTTAGACCACTCGGCCATACTGACTACGACAATATTGAGTGGGTAACTTGATATAATTGTGTTGACTATCGAACGAAAGAAATTAACGTTAAAGTATCTATGATATTTTATCTTATGTGCTTATTTTAGATTGACATTGATCTTATAGATGTGAATAATCTTCTTATTCACCCACACTCTGGTGGAATTGATCCGTGATACTGGAAGATATTTTGAGCAAGAAAATCAAATACGACATTTATTGATATTTAGTTAGTTAGGGAAAGGTAATCAATCGAAAATAACTCTTTTTTACAAACATTACGAAGTTCTTTTACGCATATATTTGTTTACTGGAACTGTTAATAGAGAGTGATCGATAATAATTTCATCGAATTTGGTTGAGAGTAAAACGAGTTGTATTAAGGAGTGTTTCTTATTATAATATATATACGAAGTCAATATAGTTTCTGTCTGTTACCAATTGTAATATAGTGTAGTAACATCACTGGCAGATAATTCTCGACTATAAACTCGAAAATCATCTATCTCGCCTTTGTATGGCGATGGATCTATTTGACCCATACCACAACCCGCTGTTGTCGCATCGAAAGAACTACCTAAAGTAATCAAGTTGACTGCGCCACTGGCATCATACGTGTTAGCTGAGCTAAGACATGGTGTGACGCGAACATTGTTAACATAAAGACAGAGACCATTTGTTGAGCTCCATGTCTGAACAACGTGTGACCAAACTAATGTTGCAATAGATAATGTTGGATTAGCAACTGTAACAACACCTCCACAATAACTTTGAGCTACAAATGAACCGTTAGGAGCAAAACCTAGAAATGGCTCGCACCAACCAGTTCCAGAACTTAACGTTGATACATGAACGACAATGCCTAATAGAGAGATCGGTCGAAGCCATAAAGAAATCGAATATGGTTTATTGGCTGTTCCAAGTGCTGTAAAACCGCTTACTTGAAAAATGGAATGTTGTGTACCATTGAAAGCAATTGCTTGAGAAAAACGACCAGATGCAAATGATGAGGTCCCTAACGTTATGGCTTGAAGATAATTAGGGCCAGAATCATTTAGAAATAGACCATTATCAAAAGTGAAATGAGCCACGAATGTTGCAATCTCTAGGATTTCACATGATGATTTCACTCGAGTTGAAACTGTCATTTGATCTATATTACCCTGAAATTTCCAAAAGAGAGGATATTTTTGTAAAAATATATTTTTAAAACGCAGTCAGACTAGAAATGATATCTAAATAAATTATTCACCTGAAAAGAAGTAACATTATATATTGATGAAAGTAATGGAATTCGTCCAATGGTAATATTCGTTGATGTTGGGATACTGAGAGTCGATGATAAACTACAACTATTCTCCAAAACACCATTAAGATAAATTATTTTTGTTAATGTTGACAGATCAAATACGAAAGCTGCATGTATCCATGTGTTTAATTTTAACAGTGTGACACCTAAACAATCATCCGAAAAAAAACTCATATATAAAAAACTTTGACGAATGCCCAGGATTAAACATTGATCAGTTGCCGTTTGATAACAAAGACTAAATATGCTATAAGTGGTCTTGTTCGAAAGTGCAGTGATAAAAAGCCACGTATCAATAGTAAAACTGACCGATGAAAGTGGCATGTATGGAGTAACAAGTGTGAAATTATTATTCGAAGCAAATATAACTGCTTGTTGATTATAACCACTTGAAGTGTATGACACGGGCTTTGTCGACGTCATATTATAGTTATTCATTTGATCGAATAAATTTCCATCGAATAACCATTGAGCGAGACGATTGTTTGTTGAAATCCATGTTTGATTGAGACATGTATGATTGAAAAGAGGCTTTGTTGTCGTTGAAACTGATAAAACAATAAAGAATTAACTTTTACTCAATATCATCTTGTATTTTTCTTACCTGATGTTGTCGCTATTATGACGGAAACAATAAAAAATAAATACATATATATTAGGTTTTATTTTATCAGTTATACATTACATGTACTACTAGTGGTTGACGTCGATTTGCTGGTGGTGCTCGTACTTGTCGATGTACTACTAGTAGTGCTACTCGTAGTTGAAGTAACAATACTCTTTTCAGTCGTGTAGATCTCAGGCCGATCGTCTGGAAATAAAAAACAAGTTACTTATATAATAAAAGATTTATAATGTTAATTCTAGTGTGTCCGACTAATAAGAACATTTCCGTATGAAATGAGGGTACTGAATGGTCATACTTACATCCACATTGCATGTTGGTTAAACATGTCAAGTTAAGATCGTTACGACATTGATTATCGCTAGTACATCCAGTTCCGTTTAATTTTTGACTGAGACACATCGATCCATTAAAAAATGTGTGTGGTTCGCATTGACAAGTGGCATTAATACATGTCAAATATCGACTATCTTCACAAGTTGAACAAGGACTACCATAATTAGCGAAATTGCTCATATCTAATTTGATCCATCCACAAACTGACTGTGGAGATAATGATGTAACAACTAAACCTGTACTATCAATATCACCTTCATAGAGATAACAATCCTTTGTTTGTCTATCAAAATTAAATGTGCGACAACGTGCTGCCATATCACATTGGACAGCACACCGTATGAGTGAATCGGTATTAGTTTCGAACAAAAGAATTCGCTCATCAAAAGGAGAAAATTCGAACCCAGCAGTACATATACCATAATTGAATTGATCAATATTCGAACTACCATCTAATAATATCATTAGATTCATGCAGTAAATAAGAACAAATAGATGATGGTAACAACGTATCATCATTATATATATTCTGAAAAGAAATTATGTAAACGTGATATATGAAAGTTATTTCAGGTGTTGTAGAGAATATCAACCGATTCAACTAGAAAGATTTATATAATATGAAGAGTTGAGATCATAGATCTTATGAATAAAAACCTTCCACTCGTGTCTGAAAATATAGAGCTGCTTTTAACTCAATTTTTATCTGATTATAGAAATAATATACAGAATCGATATATTGTCTGCAATATGTATGCTATCTTTTATGTCTTGCTGTTTAGAAGAGATGCATCGAGTTTTATCACGAACCGTTTTTACTTCCTGGGAAGAGTGCCTATCTAGTTTCATCTATAATATAAACGGTGCGAGAAAAATAACAAACAGTCTACTTACTTTTCACGGAATAAATTTTTTTCTCCTCTATTGTTAATGATGAAACTGATGATGGAAGACGATGTTGCAACACTTTTAACTCAAAAAAGCATAAAGTACAAACTTTTTTTCTTCTATCATGTATGATAAAGATGATAAGTGAGAAATACTTTGTTCTAAGTTTAGGAAAAGAATGGAAAAACAAAATTGTTTTTCTTCTCTCGTATATGATAATGATGATAAGTGAGAAATACTCTGACGTAGATGTAGGAAGATAATGAAAAAATAAAAGCTTTTTTCTATATTTACTATTCATTATAAAAGTGATAAGTGAGTAAAACTCTACTGTAACTTTAAGTAGATAATGAATAAGCAAAATATTTTTCCCTTGTTCAACATTGATGATAAAAGTGGCCATTAAAAAAGATTTTATTTATCATTCAGTATATATAGAGTTAGCTGGTCTGGCCAGATACCTCAGCTTGTTTTTCATCCTATAGTTTATATTCATACGCCAAAATGTATGATCTTTTGTCAGTTATAGTACTGATAAAGAGCTATTAGTATGTTGTAATTACAATTATATACCTTGTTGAAAGATAAAAAACAGTTATTATGAGTGACAATATTTATCTGGAATAAGAAGATATACAAATAATAAATGTCGATTGAAAGTTACTAAACATATATCATAATTTATTTTTAAGATGTTGGTTGATATTTTCAATAGCTACTCCTGAACTGGAAATAGAGTATGGGTGATGAATGAGAAGAATACACACACCCACATCCTCAAGATATTTGATAAAGTCATTCTCATCCTATTTGTTATCTTTGTTAATGGTATTATAAGTGATCACGTTGGCCATCGTATCAGATAAGAACGTTCTCTTTTCAACATCTTTGATAACACCTACAGCCACAGTCCGACGCATATCACGAACAGCAAAACGACCCAGTGATGGATAATCAGCAAATCTTTCCACACATATTGGTTCTGTTGGAATCATTTTTACCAAACCACAATCACCTGCTTCGAGGAATTTTGGATGATCTTCAATAGTCTTACTTGATCGACGATTAATTTTTGAAATCAATTCAGCAAATGTACATCTAATATGAGCTGTATGACAATCAATGATCGGTGTATAACCTTGACAGATTGTGCCAGAATGGTTGAGTATGATAATCTACGATAATAAGTTCATAGATTGTGAAGCATATTAAAGAAAGACAGCCGAATATGTAACTTACTTGAGCAGTAAAGCTTGCAGCTTCTTGTGCTGGATCATTGGTTGCATCTGAACAAACGAATCCACGTTGAAGTTCTTTAACACTAACTCCTTGAACACTGAAACCAACATTATCACCAGGTAGAGCTTCTTTAAAGACATCAAAAAAAAAAATAGTTCTACAAATAAGAACAGTGTTTACCTGTCATAGCTTCATGATACATTTCAATTGAATTAACTTGTGCTGTTAAATATAATGGAGCAAAATTTACTACCATATTTGGTTTGAGTATACCACTTCGAATTCGACCTATAGGAACTGTCCCAACACCATCAATGTGAAATATATCTTGAAGTGGTAGTCGAAGTGGTTTTTCAATAGGGAGTTGTGAAGGAATGATAGCACCAAGAGCTTCTATTAGTGTTTCACCTGAAACACTTCCTTCTTGACGATCAACTGACCAACCTTGATACCAAGGCATATGATCTGAAACTTCAATCATATTATCGCCACGCAATCCCGAAAGTGGTACAAAAGGTATTGTTTCCGGTTGATAGTCACTTCTTTTTAAATATATTGATATGTCGCTTTTGATTTCATTGAAGCGTACCTCAGAAAATGATGGATTTGTTGTGTCCATTTTATTGACAATGACGATCAATTGCTTGATACCGACGGTAGATGCAAGCAGAATATGTTCTCGGGTTTGACCTTCCCGAGAGATACCAGCTTCAAATTCGCCTGAACTAGCGGATACTATCAACAGTGCACAATCGACCTAGCAGAAAATGATACCCAGATACTTATGCAGAGTAAAATAAAGTTGGAGAGTAATATACCTGTGAAGTACCTATAAATAAATTCTTGATGGAATTTTCATCGCATAGCTGGTCGGTGATCTCAATATAGTGCGCATTCGTCTCGAATCGAGTAGGTGGAATGCGTATGCAGATACCACGTTCACGTTCAACCTTTATCCGATCCAAAATCCAACTATATTTACATAAACTTTTGCCTACCTATTATTCATTCGAAAGATGTAGTTTTATAGATATCATGGAAGCAAAAAGAATTCATACTTCAGCCGCTTCTCTATCGAATCTGTCGATAGTTCGCTTATCGATACCACCAAATTTCCAAAATAAATGACCACATACAGTTGATTTACCTGAATCAACATGACCCATGACGATAATATTAATATATTTCTTTTCTTTACCCATGAATATAAATGGAAATTTTGAAAAGATGATGTTTAATAGAACAAGGATGATAGAAAAATAAAGCTTGTACTGTGTTTATGTGCACGCGGTTTCTTTAACATGTGTATCGTCATGTAATTACGCAACATTATTCTACGATGATGACACAGCATGAAAGTAAACTTAACAGAAACGAAAAAAAAGAAATCCTTTGCATAATTTAGTGTCTCCGTCTTCTGTTGAGTGAAGCCAATCAATCAACGTTAGCAGATCTTTTGCTGAATAACAAAATTCAAAGAGTAATATGGCAATGTTCCTTATTTTAATAGGAAACGAAACAAGATAGCAAAGTATATAATATCTCTATAAATTAATATATAAATCATCAGTTATTATTTATCATAAAATAGTTCAATTTTCAGATCTGATAAGTTATTTAACGAGAGAAACATTAAAACTAATACACTCGTATACATGTAGAAAAACGAAATCAGCTGACTCATCTTTTCAAATAAAATATTTTTATTGATCATTAGTACGATTATATCTGAATCAATAAGGATTAATCGCTACTAGATGTCACTGGAATAAATGATTTACACGATACTAGACCTCTTAGATACTTCTACTACTTTTGCAGAGTTTGATATGACTATATAAATAAATAAGTATTATATTATATTTTTTGGGTATAACAGTTGTCAGCAATTGCCCTCTGTTGATCCGCCAATGATTCAGTACGAAGAATCCACTGCTAATATTCGTCTCTGACCTTATGAAAATATGTGAATGCAATTCTATTTGTAAAATATAACCCTATCAAGCAAAGAATCGATAACAGGAATTGTTTTCTTTTGTCATAATATCATTCTTTTTCTATGCTTATAGTAATAATTTGATTTGATTTAACTTTGTTAGAATATAAATTAGATGAGATATATTCAGAAAAAAAACAAAAACTTCAAAAATAATTTAAATTAAACTTATGTATTTATTTATACAAATATGAAAAAAAATACATTTGTCATTTGAATTATATCAAATGAAAAGTACTTTAAAATATTCCACCACCACCATTTCCATTACTTCCAAGTCCACCACCGAATAGACTATTATTAATTTCATTATTCACAAATTGATCAGCACCAGTTTGAACAGTACCACCAACTAAACCTATAAAGAGACTAATATGTATTCAAATCATCATAATATACCAAATAACATACCACTGCCACCTGGAATAATATCGTTAACCAGTTTATCTGCCTCACGGTCTACGAACGCTTCTTCTCCATCTCGAAGTAAACCACTCATCCTTATTTTTGTTATCGTTTGAATATAGAATGTAATGTATAAATGCAGTTGTGTGCACGATAAGCGTTTTTTATAGGTATATGAAACGACGTCAGCAGTGGGTGAGAAAAAGGTGCGCAATTTCGAAGTACGATTGGGGAAACGCCTTTGTTTATTCATAACATGAATAATATACGAACGATAAAAGTGCATTTATTAATAGGTATCATTATACATATAATATGTCTATGGTATTATAAAATATGTTTTTACTGAATAACTATTTTGATATTTTATAATATGTATATATTTCAATTCTTATCAATCAATGATTTCCATCTAAATATACGGTTTCATGTTGAAAAATGTTCTCTGAATTTCATTTGAACAAAACTTATGTCACAATTGATATGAGAATTTAGTTGAAATAAAAATGGAAAATTTTTTTCTAAAAGAAAAAATCTTAGTACGTAAAAGCAGGTTTATGATTAATCTGATATCACGTATTTTTGTAAGAGAACACAGATTTGTTTTTATCAAATTTATCAGATGAAAAGTTACTTTGAATTAAATCTATAGATTTAGTTAGAATTAAATTTTTTTAAATCAATTCTCATCCATATTCTGATATGTTGGTATACACTTTTCATTAATTCAGTATTATAATTTGAATCTGTAATATGGTTGTGTACAACTAATGATTCATAGTAATACGAATAATTCTCAACAAATTCACCTGAGTTTCTAAAATATTTAATATTTCTCAAACAAAAAATAAATGAATAAGCAACCTACACCACCGATCCCTTGCTCCATGTCCCCGTCATATAAAAAAATATCAATCGAGTTTGATAGAAAAATCTTTTTTTTCTTCAGAAGAAGAAAATCGATAGAAATTAAAGAAAAAAATCTCTTTTTCTTTGATTCTAAAAATCAATGTCCCGTATGTCCCACTCATCAAATAATGTTCATAATGAATGAGAAACCTAAATAATCAAAAAATTAATTTTTTTCATCAATTTTATCTTTAATCTCAATTTCGTTTTTTCTTAAATTGATTAAATTTATTCAAATAGTCAACATTTTACTTTGTTATTAGCAGAAGAAAATATTTTTCATATATCAGATGTAATCTACAATCATAAACTATTCTGAATTGTCTTTTTTTTAAATTAAAAATATAGAAATAATTTCTACATTTATAGTATTCCAAACTCAACTAAATTCCGTAACGGACTACCGTACTTATATTTCATTACTATTATTCTAATCAATAGTTGTTGGGTGCGGGTGTGAGCCTTGTTCTTGTCTCAAATTCACATCCACACCCTCAAGATGGTTTTATTTTGATTATTTACAGCGACCATTCTAGATTTTTCTTCCTTTCCAACATACTTTTCTGTTAGTCATCTGAGTCATTTCAGTACGAATAATCCAACAGTATGAAAATATGTGAATACAATTTTAATTGTAAAATATAATCCTATCAAGCAAAATAATCGATAACAAGGATTGTTTTCTTTTTCTATGCTTACAGTAATGATTTGATTTGATTTGATTTTGTTAGAATATAAATCAGATGAGATATATTGACAAAAAAATTTCAAAGACAATTTAGATAGCTTTATAGTGTATTTTACTTATATAAATATGAAAAAAAAAATACATTTGTCATTTGATATAGTTTATATGAAAAGTACTTTAAAAGATTCCACCACCATTTCCAAATCCACCACCACTTCCGAGTCCACCACCAAGGTCTCTATTAATGTCATTATTGATAAATTGATCAACACCAGTTTGAACAGTGCCACCAATCAAACCTATAAATACACTAATATGTATTCAAATTATCACAATATATCAAATAACATACCATTGCCACCTGGAATAATATCGTTAACAAAATTATCGGCCCCACGGTCTACGAATGCATCTTCTACATCTCTGATTAAACTCATGTTTATTTTTGTTATCGTTTGAATATAGAATATAATATATAAATGCAGTTGTGTGCACGATAAGCTGTTTTTATAGGAGTATAAAACGACGTCAGCAGTGGGTGAGAAAAAAGTGCGCAATTTCGAAATATAATTGAGAAAACGCCTTTGTTTATTCATAATATGAATAATATACGAACGATAAAAGTACATTTACCGATAGGCTATATTATGTAAGTAATACGCCCTTAGTATTATAAATTATACTAAATGTACAGTGTCATGTTGAATAATGTCCTCTGGATTTCATTTGAGCAAAACTTATGCTTCATTATTATTATTCTAATCAATAATTGTTTACCTTACAAGTCGATATTATAACATTTCAATGATCAGTACAATTGTCTAAGATTGGTTAATCGATACATGAATAGGTTTGTTAAATTTCGAATAGAAAATTTTGATTAATTAGAATTATAGAATTATCAGTATTTGAGAACGACATGTCTCAGTTAAAGTAAAAACTGTATCAGTTTTTCATTCTTATTAATATCAATAGTCTTCCCAGAAAACCATTAACATTTATTTCATCCTGTTTTAATTATAATTTATATCAGTAAAATTATTTTTGAAGAACAATTGCTTTTTTTTGTTAATGTATTATTTCCCATCGATTATTATGTTCAATTTATTTTTGATAAACACAAATTAATTAGTAGAGAATAGATTTCATTTGTAAACAGAGAACGCAAAACTAACTACAGTAAAACTTCTCGACCCTGAGCATCACTGTAACTTTCATAAATCGTTTATATTGACAGAGTGATCAGATAGCAGGGAATTTATGTAAAGAAAACGTTTGTCCTATTTAGATCATATGGGGTATTGGTGCGGATGTGAGTCTTGTTCTTATCTCAAATCTACATCCACACCCTTACGAAATTTAATACTTCTATAAAATCTTCTCTTATGTAATAAGTCGATTCAAATATATGAATATCGAATAGAATGTGAATATATTTCTCAGACTTCCTCTATTGATCATTGTGATTGTCCTAATCACAATTTTATATTTAAAAACATGAAAAAAGCTTAATAGTATATTTTTAAAATAGCTTTTTTTTCTGTATTCCTATACAATCAGTACCTCATGATACATTGAATTTACAACAGAAAATGTAGAGAATATATTTATGAGTGAGCTAGATTCTTTCTATAACGATATTCTTCGAAATCATAAAGAAAAACAGGCAATTTTTATTTTCAAGATTATCATAGTAACTATGTATTTATTAGAAAACAAAAACTAATTACGAAAAGTTTAAATATAATAATGGAAGAAGCACAGAAAAAGATGATATATTTATTTTTTGATTGTGTATCTTTATTACTTGATCATGTTAGTTGAAAATACTTCTAATCCTGTTTAAATCTAGATATATAATCATTGTATTAAGTCATTAAATAAAAAAACGTTAAGTAGAGCGAAAAAGATCTAGTGCATGATAAGTAAAGAATTTTTTTTAGAAAAATATTTCTTGTACACGTTTAAAATATAACTGAAATACTGTTACAATAGAAAAAGAACCTCAGATATACGTCAATGATAATGAAAGCATCTTGATTTAGATAGAACATTTAGCGTTGCTTTTTCCTTAATTCTCATGCTGACCTTAGTTTATGGATTTTAAAACTGTTTTATCTCACACTTACACTAAAATGGAATTGAGATCATATATTAGGACAAATAGATGCTGCAGCTTTCTTTATTTCATGTTTCAATCACAAAATTCATCATCCAAAGTCCTAATAATTGAGTTACTTTAGTAAAATATGCAGGAATAATAATAAGAATACTTTGAGCCGCAGCAGTTGTTTGCAAAATTTAAAATTTTTTAAAATAAACTCCAAAATATGATCTTTATTTTTTTTTGTACAAAATAATTATATTTTTGTGTCAACGATAAGAACAAATATATTGTAAATCATGTCAGATATTATGGGGTATCCAAACAACGTATTTCCTCAAGGAATATTTTGATTGCGATATTTGTGAAATCAGAAAAAGAAAATCTCGAGCGGTCAGACGAATAGAACAATATTTTTTAGACGGTCTTTCAATTACTTAAAGTGAAAATCAGATAGATCAGAAGAAATATTGTTATGTATTTTGTGAATAACAAATGGAATGTATTATAGTAAAAAAAAGTGTATGCGTCATCCTAAAGAATCAAGGAAAACAGACAGAGCATAGACATGTGATACTAACTAGCAATAAGAAAAAAAGGATTGTACTTAGGTAATATCACTTAATAAACGATAAAAAAATGCTCGAAATCATTAAAGAACATACTAGAGGCATCTTTGTCAAATAATAGCATCGGAATGTATATACGTTGCTGGAATTCAAAAGGATAAACGAAAAAAATACTTGATATAGGAAATAAACTTGTATACATGATGAATTAATATGTTTGACTAAACATCACATTACATAGTTGTCTCCTAGATTGATATCTCTGACTAGAAGACTGTTAAAAATCGAGATATAAATGACAGAATGTAGAGAAACAAGAAGATATGTTCTATTCTTTTTTGATTTTTTTTACTTTTATGAAATAAAAGTAATCATCATTTGTCATAGGCAATGATAAACACCAGTTGTCATCTCTTCTGCGTTGGTCTTCTTAATAATTGTTATATAAATTCTGGTTAATATCGAGTATCATACTTTTATACTATCTATAGATATGATAAGATAAAATAAGGATTTTTTCTATTTTTTGTTTTGGTTATTTACACCGACCAATCTAGATTATTCTTTCTGACTCTATTCTTTATTTTTTTTTCTTCCTTTGCAATGTATTTTTCTGTTAGTCATCTGAGTCATTTCAACACGAATAATCCAACGGTAATATTCATGTTTGTCATATGAAAATATGTGGATACAATTTTAATTGTAAAACATAATCCTATCAAGCAAAATTATCGATAACAAGGATTGTTTTCTTTTTTCATAACATCATTCTTTTTCTATGCTTACAGTAATGATTTGATTTCATTTTGTAAAAATATAAATCAGATGAGATATATTGACAAAAAAAAATTTGAAAGATAATTTCGATAGCTTTATACTGTATTTTATTTACTAATACGTTTTTATAAATTAAACTTATGTATTTATTTATATAAATAAGAAAAAAATACATTTGTGATTTGACATAATTCAAATTAAAAGTACTTTAAAAGAATCCACCACCAGTTCCAGGTGCACCACCACTTCCAAGTCCACCACCAAATAAATCTCTGTTAATTTCATTATTGACAAATTGATCAACACCAGTTTGAACAGTGCCACCAACCAAACCTATAAATAGGGCAAGATATGTTCAAATCATCATAATATGCTAAACAACGTACCACTGCCACCTGGAATAATATCGTTAATGACACGATCTGCCATATTGTCTACGAACGCTTCTTCTCCAGCTCTAAGAAAACTCATGTTTATTTTTGTTATCGTTTGAATATAGAATGTAATGTATAAATGCAGTTGCATGCACGATAAGCTGTTTTTATAGGGGTATAAAACGACGTCAATCGTGGGTGAAATAAAGGTGCGCAGTTTCAAAATGTGATCGAGAAAACGCCTTTGTTTATTCATAACATGAATAATATACGAACAATAAAAATGCATTTATTAAAAGGTAGTATTATACATATAATACGCCCTTGGTATTATAAAATACGTTTTTGATGAATAACTATTTTTTCATAGATGAATAGATGATAAAAAAATAATATATATTTCAATTCTTATAAATCTATGATTCACATCTAAATCTACAGTGTCATGTTGAATAATGTCCTCTGGATTTCATTTGAACAAAACTTATATTTCATTATTATTATTATTATTCTAATCGATAATTATTTAACTTACAAATCTATACTATAACATTGTAATGATCAATACAATCGTCTAAGATTGGTTAATCGATACATAAATATGTGTATTAAATTTTGAATAAATAATCTTGATTAATGAGAGTTATAGAATTAGCAGTATTTGAGAACGAAGTGTGTCAGCTATAATAAAAAATATATTAGTTTTTTATTCTTATTAATAATAATAGCCTTTCAAGAAGATCATCAACATTTATGCGACGTTGTTTTAATTATAATTTAAATAAATTAAATTATTTTTGAAGAAAAACTGTTTTTTTGTTTATGTATTATTTCTCATTGATTATTATCTCCAATGTTTTTTTTTGATAAACACAAACTGATTGGCGAAGAATAGATTTTATTTATAAATAACCTACACCCATCTTCAAGAGCAAAACTAATAGAAAATTAGAGGTTGAACGTTAAAAGTATAAACAGAAATGAGGAACATGATATATTATTTAATTTCTTTAAAAGCAAATTATTAACTCAATTTAAATAAGATTTTAAATGTTTTTCTCAAAGATATTGTAAATATGATAATGAATCATATTTAAATAAATCCAAGAGTATATATCTAACCATTATAATCTTAGTCGTTCTATCAATAAGTCTAGCTTGTTTTGCTCTTATCTCTTTTTCCATTAATTGAACTATTTAACGGAAAAGAAGAAGATAAAAATTACCAAAATAGAAAAACCGATTTAAGGATATGATGATATTCGGTAACATAGATTTTCTATGATTTTTGTTGTTTTGAAACTTGACAACTAAATTTAAAAACTATCTCGCAGAAAATAGTAGAAAATATGTTTTTTTCGCATATTCAAAGTGTGAAAATAATGAGCTTTGTGTATTTCAATACATATGAAAGGAAGAATACACTACAACACTCAGTGTTTTGTCTTTTAATGATACCCATCTAAAAACTATGGCGCAATACTAACGATGTGTAATGTCTTTTATGTTATCTTTATATTCAAACAACACAAAATGTACATCATCATTGTGAGAAAGGGCAAGATAACGTTTTGGTAAATATAAGTAAATGAGAATAATATCTTATTAGTACTCAGTAGCAAAAAGATGCATCTTATTCTTATATTTATATTTATATACGCGCCTATAGTGAATAGTTTACAATTATGTTACTCAGCCTGCAATCAGAATGTTCCTTTCAACACTATTCCTGACCGTCCTACTAGCTGCAATCCAGTAACAAACTCGAGTTTAGTTTGTGCTGTTAGTGTAACATTCAATTCAATTCGAGAGAATGTCATTGAGATATTCTATTTCACACCAACGATTGCTAATGCTCGTCCACCTTTTATCGAAACTGCGATCTTTTTTACAGATAGTAGTCTCTATAGACATGCGTTCCACGAATGTGCCGACTGCGATATTTACGAGTTTGCCCGTGAATTCGTTGCCGCCATGCAATCACTACCTGCGACAGCACTAATCGTTGTACCTCAAATGCATAGCCTTCTTGTTACAAACGACACAATGAGTTCCATCGAATGTTACAGAGGCAAAGATGAAACTCAAGTTGCCAGTTCATGTCTAAGCTGTTCACTTGATATTGACATGCACAAGAATAGTAATCGAACTTGCGATATACCACCTATGCTTTTGCTCAAAGTCAATTTGAAAGAAACTATCACATTCAATAACAAACGAACATTTCACACTATTAATATCCAATGCGGCCGCCAACACTGTAATACTCTGAATACAGCTCGTACTGCGATACACATTCTATACAATAATGGACTTGCTCAGCACGATTACGATGTTGCTTCATCCGGAATGGTCTCTTCTTTTTCAATATTATGTCTTATCGTTCATTTCATTAGTTTCTTACATTATTACATGAAATAAAATTGTTGAAAATGGCGGTAGCGATTATTTTTCAATCACAATGAATATTTCTGAATTTAAGTAATACTTTATAGAATATATTATACAATAACTATGAATCATACATACAAACAACATATATTCTTACAATATAGAATATATACTCAACGAGTATTAAATATTTTCTTCACTTCTGTTCGAAATGTTTTCGATACAATTAAATTAGTATAACAAGCAGTACAAAATGGAATTGCAGCAGTAAATATAAATATAAATGAAATCATGTTTTCCAATCCTAATCTTTCATTAGTTTTTATTTGATTTTGTGTAATTTGCGCATATATAAGATACATTGCAAATGGACTACTACATAAACCATAGATAGTAATTTCCATAAATAACATTAAAATCCATTGTCGATCTTTTCGAGAAAAAGAATTTGAATTATGTTTTGGCATGGTTCTAACAGCTGATATATCACCAGTAGCTTGAATACGACCAAGATTTTGTATATTTTTTATATATATTATTCCAAATATTAACATTAATGAAATAACTGTAATTTCTTTAATAATTTCAAAGTAAGTTGTAAATATATAATATGCACCTGGCGGAGGTGTACACATAATAAAATTTGGACCTAGTTGAACAATATCTGTGAATATTAATGCATGACTATAAGATAATGTCCAAAATAATGTACCAATTCCAATACATATATAAGCAAGACGACAAGTACTGCGTTGTCGTGTAAGAGCATTTGGTGAAGTAATAAAAACACGATCAACCGATGCTAAAACTAAGTAAAACGGACTTAAAACACTGAATATAAGTATTGCATAGAAACGTAAACGACAAATAACTATGCTGTATATACTATAATCAATGTTATATCCAATACTCAGTGTTGAAGATAATAATGAAGAATAAATATACATAAAATTAGCAATATTATATGCAATAAAATAAATTGAACATGGATTTTTACGTAAATTTTTTCGACGAAAGACAACTATATTGATAATACAACCAACTGTACCCAGAATCATTAAAATTGGACAAGCAATTTGATATAAATATGTATTCAATGAGGACATTTTATAATGAAAATAAAATAATCTTAGACCTTTTCAAATGTTGATAATGTTACAAATGACATAGCATTCTTCGTTCAAGTATGAATACAAGAAAAAAAAACAACCTATAGGCTTCATGTTTGGTTCTGACAAAAACCAATCTATAGGCTTCATGTTTGGTTCTGACAAAAAAGAAGTAGGATGACAGATTTGTTAATTTGAACTAATTAGTTTTTTCTCGTGATATTACTAAAAATATCGACTGATGCTCGTATTAAATAACAGAATTTTGAATGTCAAGACGCAAAAGGAAAGTGTTTCCGTTTGTAATAATAAAAAAATTGTTTATTCTAAAAGTATTTCTTTTAACAATACTATACTTTCAATTGATACTCCGCAGTAAAATGAAATCAATAACATACCACTGATATCGATTATGAAAACAAGAAAAATTATTTGTTTCTTTTCATAGCTCGATACCATTAAAATATAATTATAGATGAATTGCAGTGTGATCATATGATTTTGTCTCTCTCTTATCTTTTCTTTGTTACATCGATGTATATACAGATAATTCACTTTCTATTTCGTCGTTAAAAACGAAGGACATATTTAAATAAAAATAGAACATGTGTGTTATACCTTATTTCTAGATTCAAGAAGATAGTATTTATTTTTTATACGTGAAAAATAATAATGCCGACCAACGAAGATGTTTTTTAATTTATTTAAAAAAAACGTTTTCTATTTTAGGTCCATTTGGTCAAACATGAGATAATATGATGGGTAGGAATTCAAATCCAACACCCGGTCATATGTATGGATATGGTGGATATCGTACTGCATTTGGTTATCCATATACTGTGTGGTGAAATTATATAAGGAAATTTGATTTTTATTTTGATCATGATTTTTCATTTTTACATATATAAAATGCTTGCTATAAGAAACAAGTTCAAATCTCTAATACGAGAAAATGATGTATCTATTATCGATTATTGAAACACATATACAGAATAATAATACATTTTTAAAGATTAACAAATCTTTTTCGTATAGGCGAGTGTCTTAAAATGATAAAGATAGTTTTTTGACATTGAACGTCTGTCAGTATCAATAGAATCTTTTACATGATTCAACTATGCATATAATAACATATAATATTAAGTTTCTTTTCAAAGATTGTCATTCTGACTGTTCTTTTGCGAACAGAATTGGTAATATGAAACCAAATCATTGTAAAATAATACTAATCTTCAACAACAAAAATATATATATGTAAAAATAGTATACTGTAGCAAATACATTTTTCAACTTAGTCTAATGTCTTGCTTAAATTTTCAATCGAGTTATACCCCTTAGAATCAAAGCAAAATAGAGATGTTCAATACTGTTGAAAGTTTCGCTCGTCATCGAAATTCAAGCTATAATCTGGATTTTGACAATAGGAAGCAGTTATTCAATCTTGAAAAATATCCACCTGTGTAGACTAGTAACAATAAATACTCGTGCAATAGTTTACTAAGAGTGAATGGAAAAAATTGAAATCATGTCAAAGGATATGCATATTTTGTGGTTAACCAAAAAAAAAGAGAAAATATTTTAATAAATATACATATTATGTTGAGATTCAACTATAATAAAATAATATTTACTAATCATTGTATCGTTGGTATTTATGTAAATAGGTCAATAGAAATATGGCTATATAGATTTTTGATATCGTTGTAGAATATACAGGATGAAAAGAATTCATATTTACATGTGTATGTGTCATTGTTAAACATTGATTAATCGTGTTTTTGTTCTTATAAATTATTATGATAGAAGAAAAAAACTAAATTGTTATCCGATTTGAGGTTAGACCTATGTACATTTTATTATAAATCTTGCTTCATGCTGTTACCTATTTTGATTTCAATTTCGTCAAGATAATATTTGGATCAATTGTAATTGCAATAACACTTACAGTGTTTTAGCTATTACGATTAAACTGAGCATTTTCATATAATCTAACTATTAATTCAGGATTCTAACCAATTAAAAAAATACTTTCATCGATAACGTTTAATAATTGCGTCTATTCGTACGATGCAATATATTCTTCGATTAGATCTAATTACTAACTCATATTTCTTATATATAATTAATACCAATTATTCGTAGAATATGAAAAACAGCAGTGAACACATTATTTTGTTAGATTTCTTGTTGTTCACGTTTGATTTTATTCTTGTTTAAAAATAGAAAGAAGTGATACAGAAAAAAATAAATATTGTATCAAGTTCATTTAATAATATCAAAAGTTTTATCCTGTATGATTTTCACAATTGGTGCCGGCGTAGGGTGCATAGCATTGGCAATAATAAGTATTACCAGTGTTGAAACATCGACCACCGTTTTTGCATGGAAATTGAGAGCAGTTTCCCACTAGTTAAATAGAATTCGAAAAATAAGTAAATATTAAGAATTTATTCAAACATGTAGGATAAAAACAAAATTTCTAACTTTTGTTCGTCTATTTTATCAGTGAAAAAATAGTACTAAAATAGAAATTATTTACCTTGTTTGGTTGTTGTTGTTGCGGATGCTATTGTTGTAACGGTTCCTACAAAGAAATAAAGATTTCAATCTTGATAAATGAATTTTCGAAATAAATAATTATCTGTCAATAATCACAAAAAAACAGTGATATACTATAGTATTGAAAAAACTATATGGTCATCACATTTCGAGGTTCCAATATAATTATTAATGTTCAAAGTGTAACAAGTAGAGAGAATAAACTATATTTAAAATATTTAAACAAGGATGTACCTGTTGATATACGCGTTTCGCATCGGACACCAGTAAATGCCCCTGGACATTGGCAACGTATGTGAGTGTCCATAACACAACGTCCAGCATTACAGTAGTCTGATGGTAGAAGCTTACATAATTCTTCTGTTCTGTTAGACGATTCCGCGTTAGAGATTGGTCGGCCACATTTAGGACCACCCCATCCTGGAAGACAATCACATGTTCGGTTTCCGTTGTCTGTAGAACATATGCCATTGTTTAGACAGTAGCCCACACATTCTAAATGAATAGATTATAACAATGATTAAATTTTGGCTAAGTAGACTTTAAAAGTATTTTCAACTGTGAAAGTAAAACGCCATGATAGTTTTTTGTATTCTATATTTTAGACATACAGTAAAGAAATTAAAAATTATTGATTATCACATCATCTTAGGATAGTTTCAAACGCAAAAGTATTCGACGTTTTTTTTTACATACTCGATTCTTTTTCACAATATTTGCCCATATCCGAATAAGGACAACGACAAGCATATTGTACTGTATTGTTGACATAACATGTTCCTCCATTCTTACAAAAACCTGGCGAAAGAATACTGCACATATTATCGGTTAATGGTATCATGCTGATATTTGAGACCGATAATAAAACGATGACCAGCCCGAAAATATGTTGGTAGTTACAATGAAAAGCCATTGAATATTTGTTTTTAATAATAATGTTCGAGTGAGAATAAAAAACATCAAATTTTACCACTCAATATATAGGTATCTGTATATTTGCTTTTTATTGTAATTTGATCCTAGCATATGACGTGTATTTATTTATCATGAAAAAAGATGTACTAATATCTACAAAAATAATGATTTCGGGTCTGTCCCCAAATCTTACATTTGTCTTTTGTTTAAACGGAAGTGAATTTGTTATTTTATGGTAGAATAGAAAAAGTCTTATATTTGTCTTTCTAATTCGTATCATATAGCAGTTCCTTTTTTATAAATATTATATTTGACGATCAAATTTCATGCTACTAATCACATGTTATACAAGATAAATATTTGATAAATGTGTAAGTAAAATTACTTCCTAATCAAAACTAAATATAGTAGATGAATATATATCTGATGTATATTTTGTAAAAAAAAACAGCATTTTAATATAAGCAAGATTTTGCTCTTTATACAAAATACAGAAAAGTGAGTAGATATCAATAATTATATTTTAAGCGTAGATATTTTATGTAGTTTTAATGATGCGTTGAGTTACATAGTAAATTATATTCGCTATTTAAAAGATATTAAAAATCATTTAAAAACGATCTATGCAGTGTTTTGTACGTTATATATCTTGATCAAAATCGTATTTATAAGATATTTTACTAGAGTATAGCTTCAAGATTTATCTTTCATATGTTTATTTTGAGCAAGATAAATTAAATCGTAACCAATTTTTGTGTGGAGAGAAGTACCACACTATAAAACAACTGTCTTAATTAATTATGTATACCCTTCACTACTTTCGAATATATGATTGAAACTTTGTTGAGACTTTATAGATTGAATGAATGTATTATTCTTGAAAAATTTTCTTGATTATTTAGTTTTTAAGCAATAATGAAATACAAAATAATTGATGTAACATTAGATAATACAAACTGATAATGTGTGTTGCGGTCTATACGAAGGAATATATCGAACTAGAAAATCCCTTTTGAATCGTCTGTAGCCTCAAAAGATAGATCTCAATGAATTATTAGACTTCCTAGACGAGATTGATTTTCCAGAAATTCTAAGTAGAGATATACGCCCATTACTATTATCAATTTTCACGTATTATTCTATTCATATATTCAATAACTTGACGAAATATGATTTCATCTAACGCAAATTTATATCATTAGTATGACACTCAGCATTGACGAAAATCATTAATTTTGAAGATAAATCAATATTTTCTATCGAAGACATGAAGTTGTTTCATATATAGCAATTCATTATTAAAAAACACTAGAATCAACAAAACAAAGACAGTGAAAAGATACAATTACGTATATGACGTTCTAAATCATCAAATCCGAAATAAATTTCAGTAAACAGTTTTGAATGGACCTGAACGCATATGAACATATCCAGCTTTACACCACGCATATTTAATCAAAGATGTGAAAATGGGTGACAATATTTGATTATGCATAAGTGATTGTAGTTTACGTATGTTATGTCTAGCATCCCGCATGAAAACAGATATTCGAACAACAAGCATCGATCAACAAAACATAATGACATTTGCTTATGTATTTAGTGTTACATTAATGGTCACATTTGGTATAATATCAAATGTTATTTCAATTGATACATTTAGACAAACATCAATAAGATCAACAACAGTTGGAATTTATTTACTTATATATAGTTGTTGTTCATTATTTGGATTAATAATGCTTGTTTGTCGTTTATTTCAATTAATAGATTCTCTTACTTATCTACCATTCTTTTTTATTTGTAATGTAATATCTGGTTTAGCATCAATATTTACTCGAATATGTCTTTGGTTAAATGGATTCACTGCATTTCAACGATCACTTCTTTCATTTGAACCAAGTTATATAATAAATAAATTTCGGTCAAGATCAATTGCATTAAAACAAATATTTTGCATAATAATATTAATATTTCTAATGCATATTCATGAATTAATTTGTCGTGTTACATTGCCAGATCCAGTTGCACCAGGAAAATTTGTTTGTCAAATAAAATATCCAAATGCATTATTGATATTAAATCAAATATTTTCAACATTACATATATTTATTCCATTTTTCTTACATCTTCTATCAACTTGTTTAATATTGACATCGATTAGCCGTCGACGAGCTCTCCTTCATCGAACAACTTATTGGAAACAATGGATGAAAGAATTTCATACTCATTCTCATCTTTTTGTTGCACCAATCATAGCCATGGTTAGATTTAATTCTTTTTCTTTTTAATTAATTAAACAATTTTTCTTTTGTTAAGGTCTGCACATTACCTCAACTGGTACTTTCATTGAAATATTCCTGTGTCGATATATCCATCAAATGGTTATTACGATTAAATACATCAGCTAATTTACTTATTTATATACCTCAATCAATTACATTTTTTCTTTTTATTTGTTATTCAGAAGTTTATTTTAGAACATTTATAAATGAATCAATATTCGGCAAATTATTATGTTTAAAGCGTAATACGAACAATAAAATATTTCCTTTGACAGCGACACATACTCAATTGAACAATGAAACAAAACTTCGAAGCAAAATGGCAACAAATAAATCGCATGACAATAAAAATACACAAACTTAAATAGAAATCTGCGTTCTTTTCAAAATAAATCTATCGATTTTTTAATTAACTATTTCGATGAATCATCTTCAGTAATAAGAAATTGAAATATTTTCATATTGAAACAATATGTGAAATGAACAGATCTTGTTTTATTATAAACCATTTGCCAGTTTTTCTTGTATAGAAGGATATGGATGAAAAGTTATTGTGATACTCACACCCTCTTTGAATAACCTATATTCTTATTTATGATATCGATTAATTACAATCAATGTTAGACGATCACTTAGATATTTATATTCTTTGAATAAATACTACCGATGCTGATTGTAATTTTCAATATTCAAAAAAAATAAAAAAGAAAGAGTGAAGCTTATGAAACATTCTTTATATATGTCACTTTTATAGTTAGAATAATTTTTATCACATAGACTGACGTATTACTAAACATTTGATTTCTGAATTGAGTCAACATTTAAAAAAAGACAATGATGTTTCACCGAGTTAGATCGCTTCATATCTAGTTTAGATAAGTAATGACTAAGAATTTACACAATGATATTTAATCAGTTCCAGTTTCGATTTTTTTTATACCTAAAATTTTCTACTTTTCGCATATACTGCAAGTTATGATCGAATTTTTTTTCAAACAACTAACATCTAATGTAAATTTCGTTTGACACAGTATTATTTGAGACTACGAGAAATCATTGTCATATAAAAGTATTTCAGAACCTGTGTAAGGAGAACTTCAATTTTATGGGTAATTCAAGAGATTATGGGTATGGATCTACACCCATACCTCTTTACCTTCGTCGAGAATTATCGAAAAGAAAAAAAAAGAATAGAATGTTGAATATAGATAATTCTACCTTTAAGTGCAGTAAGACGAGTGCAAAAAAAAATTACACATGCTATACATGAAAGTACGTCTATTCTTGTGAAATGACATTCATTCTAGATGTTTCCTATAATTTATATTCATTGTTTATTTATTTAATAAAATTTGTAACAACTTCATAAACGGTGTTTTTCATTGCAAAATTTTAACTTTTAATACGTGATCTGGTGATAAAGAATGAATATTATTGAATGGAACTCATATAAAAAAATTCAATGTATTTGTCTGATTTTAGAAATATGAAGCGTACTTTTTGACCTCACGTCATTCTTTCGATATAAACCACAATTTGTCATGCTAATAATAGCTTTTGAAGTTTCATTCAGTCAATTTTAGTCCGATAATTCATCGCTTTTCACATCTGTCAATAGGCAAGTTCAATATTTTTTCTTTCTCCTTTTTTTTTCATCCATTTATCACGCTGCTCAGTGTGACTTCGATATGGTATACCAACATATAAGAAGAAGCGAATGTTTGTGTGTGTAATAATTTTTATATTGAAATAAAAATCAAATTCAACAAGTAACGAAACTAGACGTGAATCTAAATAGACACTGGTCAAACGGTTACTTCAGTTATAAGTAAGTAATTTCAAAAGTGACAACTATTGTTGATAGACACATTTTCAATCCTAAAATTACAGCTGAGATTAGTATTCATGCGCGAAAATGACTATCTCAATTATTCTGACTTTGTGTGACTGAATATAGTTATAAAGTACTGATTATTTTACAGTTGCATTTATAATTCTTTTCCAATGGTCAGTGTTTTTTTTTGTATCTTACGAAATCTAGATACATTAACAAAATTAGAAGATAACAAACAGGTTTTATTTAACTGCTAAGACTAATTAATCGTTTAATGTATGTATCCACAGAATAAAAAAAAGCTAGATGTTCCCAGACTCGCAGACTGCGTTCTCATAGAAATTTGTTTCCTAATGCTTGTGTGAAAGTATAAATTGCGTTCTTTTTTTCTAGTTGAAGTGGAATTTGTATGAGCACTCATTGCCTTGTCATTAACAAAACACTGCACTATCGAAATCAACACAATGGATATAATCGTAGTTGGTGGAAGCCTTGCAGGCCTATTTGCAAGTTTGGTACTCAAACGACTTGGTCATAGTGTTCATATCTTAGAACGAAATCCTACACGTTATTATCAAGGTAATGGAGCTGGTATATCCGTAGGTCCTGAACTTCAAGATTATATGGACAAGTTTGACAAAACTGGTCGGAATTTTATTACAACAACTATGTTTCGTCGCTATCTTGATATTCATGGTAACGAAATACATCGAGAAGATTGGATTCGCCCTACGACCAGTTGGGATTTCATGTATTATATTCTACGCGCGAATTTCGATGGACTCGATAGTGAGTATTGTAAAGGAACAGACCAATCAGGTGGAAAAACAATTTATAATTATGATGCCAACGTGACTGATATGAAAGTAGACAATGATGGAATAACTATAATTTACGAACAAAAGAATCAGAAAAAAACAATTAAGGCTGATATTTTACTCGCAGCAGATGGCGCATCGAGTAACATACGAACGTTACTATATCCAAACCTAGAACGAAAATACGTTGGCTACGTTCTTTGGAGAGGCACAATTCTTGAATCAGAAGCATCGGAATCACTTGTATCGTCTTTCGTCGAATGCTTCACATTCTTTCATGCACCTGGTATACAGTTTTTCTATTATTTTATTCCTGGAAAGAATGGCGCACTAGATCAAGGAAATCGATTGATAAATTGGGGATGGTACTGCAATTGTGAAGATCCATCAGAAATACTCACCGATTGTGACGGAAAAACGCACCGTTGGACATTACCTATTGGCAAAGTTCAGCTTAAAGTGTGGGAAAATCAAAAACAATATGCGACTCATAATCTTCCACCTCAATTTGCACAGTTAGTTCACATAACGCAGTCGCCTATCGTTCAGGTTATCACTGATGTTCTTGCACCACAAGCAACTTATTATGGTGGTAGAATCGTGCTACTCGGCGATGCATTGGCTGCATTTCGACCACATACTGGTGCTGGCGCGAGTCAAGCTGCTTTTCATGCCTTACAGTTATGGGAAAATATGAAGAACTGGCATGAATGGATGAAGAATAAAAGTTCGTATGAAGATCTTGTGATGGAATTTGCAAGGTATGGCGTTCAACATGGGCAAAAATTGGGTAATCTATCTCAATTTGGACATTACAAAGTTGATGGAAAGTTGAAAATGGGCTTCCTGCCGCCATTTGAAAAGGCATTGCAATCTGAAGAAGATGAGCTATTGTATGATAATTCAACTTGATTTTGATCTTTTTCTGAGTGTTTTACTCTCTTTTCTTTAGATCAAAGAAGTGTTGCTGATTCATATTTATGGGAAGAATGAAGTTAAGTAAATCTGCTTTGTCAAATGGTTTACTACAATGTATATATAAATAATTTTGGTGTCTGTCAACTACTTCGGTATCAAAATTAATTTCTCAATCGCTTTTTTGTTTATATTGGTCGAAATTGAAATCAAAGTATCCATCGATCATGATCTATATGTATGGCTCAAATTATGGTTTTATCTATTATCGTTGATAAGTTATAAAGAAAATAAATTAGCCTTTTGATCATTTTCTATATATTTACACGATGTATGCTCGTTGATTTTTGTTCTCCTTGTTTTTGTTTTTGGCTTGAAAAAAGAAATAAAGTATTCTCAATCAGTATTTTTATGATGTTTCGAATGCTCTTTCTACTGATAATGTCATTTTCAATTTACCTATCTTTACTAAACAGAAAAATTAGAAACAGGCTTACACTCTCTTCTGAATTTAGATTGTAGCTAAATCTTTTTGATCAAAACGAGGATTAATGATTAATAAAACATTCACATCTTGCACAAAGTATTCACTTATGATTTATCGATAAGATGAAATAAATCCAGATACTTTCAGTTTTTATGCGACAAGCAAAATTAATATTTTTACTTGCATGAAAAGTGAAGTAACAAGAGAAAGATTGATGGTTCTACTACACAATGGCTACTTTCACTCCGATGTTGTTCGTAAACTCAAGAAAATATTTCTACCAGATAAGTTCAAAGTTCTTGATTAACAGCTAGCAGTAGCTGATAAGAAAGGATGTGAGTGTAGACATGTGTTCTTCTCTACACCCACACCTATTTTTATATATGTTTTCAGATTATTATTTCAATTAACTACTAATCTTCGATTGGATATCTCTTTTTTCATCTTCATAATATAAAGAACATTAAAATCAGATATTGTAGATGGTATGTTAATGATTTCAACTTTTCGAGATATGTAATATTGCTTTTGTTTATTTGTTTACTTTATAGTTTGAAATAGATTGAATAAAATTGTACAACAAATTGATATGAAACTTTAGGGTTTTCTTATAATGTGAAACAAGGTAGGACAGATTAAAGGTTACAAAAGTTTTTACAGAGCAGGGTAGGGCACGTTATGCGAAAAATTTACAAGGCAGGGCAAGTTCCAGGTTGTCAGAATTTCTTTCCCCGCAGGTCTCTATATTGAATATGCAATGTTCATTTTCAGGATCAGCCGCAATTTGATAAGAAAACACCGATATTGTCTGCATAATAGTTGCCGGCAATGATATCGAGTGTGCCGTCCGCATTGACATCGGCAACTCTCACAGAGTACGGTTCCGACCAAGAGCCGGTTGAATAAGCCACTTGAACAGTAAATGTACCATTGCCTGTGTTGAGGAGAACACCGACGTTATCTGCCCAATAGTTTGCAACAACAATGTCAGCATAGCTGTCACCATTAACATCCCCAGCTGACACGTAATATGGGTAAGAGCTAGCACCAGTTGAATAGGTGACTTGAGCAACAAACGTACCATTGCCTGTATTGAGGAAGACACCGACGTTGAATGCATTGTAGTTTGCGGTAATAATATCAGGCTTGTTATCTCCATTGACATCAATTGCTACCACTGAATATGGTTCAGAACCATTGCCGGTTGAATAGGTGACTTGAGCACCAAATGTACCATTACCTATGTTGAAGAGGACACCGACGTTGTCTGAACCGGTATTTGCGACAATAATATCGGGTTTGCCATCTCCATTGACATCGGCTGTTGTAATAGAAAATGGACTACTACCAACTGAATAGGTTACTTGAGCACTAAACGTACCATTGCCTGTGTTAAGGAGAATACCGATATTGCCTAAATAGTAGTTTGCGGCAATAATATCAGGTTTGCTATCTCCGTCGACATCAACTGCTACCACGGAATACGGATGAGAACCACTGCCGGTCGAATAGGTGATTTGAGCACCAAACGTACCATTACCTGTGTTAAGGAGAATACCGATATTGTTTGAAGCGGCGTTTCCAACAACAATGTCGAGTTTGCTGTCTCCATTCATATCAGCTAGTGACACTGACCATGTGTCATAAGTAATACCAGTCGGATAGGCCACTTGTGCCAAAAATGTGCCATTGCCTGCGTTAAGAAGGACACCGACTGTGCCTATTTTGTAGTTTGTGACAATAATGTCGGGCGTGCCGTCTGCATCGACATCACCTACTGTAACAGGGTACGGTCCAGAGCCAACACCAGTCGAATACGTCACTTGTGTCGGAAATCTATTGGTGCACGGAGCTATAACGAAAAAAAAAATTGTTATTAGCTTCTGTCTGATTAGGAAGAATAACTATATCAGAGCTTTTTTTTGAGGGTGTCTTCTTCTTCTTCTATATACCCACACCCACACCCTTATCAGAAGTTCTAATAGAAACCACTGGAGAACACAGGTCGAAAAAGTTACTGTTAGGAAGAGAATCTATCGCGGATTCATTCAAAATGTTTATGGATAAGACATATTCTCTTTAGTTATGTATCTAGGTTGGGAACATTCAGTAGGGAAAACTAAAACTTCAAAATTAAGCCATTCGTACAAATAATCAATTAGATATCTATGTAAGGCGCTACAAATCATCTAACATAACACTCACCAGTGGTTGTTGATACAGTCGTTGATGTTGTTAGTAGTGACGTTGTTGATATAGCCGTTGTTGATATAACCGTTGTTGGTGATGGCATTGTTGATGCAGTTATCGATGTTGTTGTTGGTGACGTTGTTGATGTGCCTGTTGTTAGTGTTGGTGATGACGTTGCTGATGTAGTTGTCGACGTTGTTGATGGTGATATTGTTGATGCAGCTGTTGATATTGTTGGTGACGTTGTTGATACAGTCGTCAATGTTGTTGGTGATAACGTGGTCGATACAGTCGTTGATGGTGACGTTGTTGATGCAATTGTCGATGTCGATGATGATGACGCGATCGATTCTGTTTTGAAACAATGAAATTAAAATGAGATGAAAAGTATTGGATAAGATATAACTCAAAATCCAGCATTCCTCGATCTATTATCAAAACATCTGGGTTTGATGGCATTATGGTAAAGTTTTATGAACTAAATTAGATTCTCTTGACTTTCTTCTTTTAATCATATTTATACTACAATAATTCAAACGAATAAACTTACACGAAGTACGACTTTTGCAATGAGATTTTTTCAAATCCTGCACGTAGAGTTATATGATATTTCTTTATCAAAGCTTAAGCCCAAAATATAGTTTTTACAAATATAAAACTTCAAAAAGAGCCTGTTCAAATCTGTATGATGAGGCGGCGTGAGTATGACGAAAAAAAGAATATAATACGTGCACCCTCATCTACATCCGAAAATCTTTTTGTAGATATTCTAATAGTTAAGATGTCACTGATTTTGTTGTATTCTTAATATTATAATATCAACTGAATCATGATAAAATGGGGTAGATTTATAGAACAGTGTTTAGATTATCAGTATAGATAAAAAGAAAACTTCCTCGAGGTCTCGATAGAATATTATAGTGCCGTTGCCACTACTTTTGGTATGACCTAAATAGATGTTTAATTACCCGTTGTTGTATTTTGTGATAAAGGTTGTTGTATAAATATAAATATTGAATTAAGATCAATCTTGATTGCCGATAATGATAAATAACTACCAAATAATGCACACGTTTTATTATTTGTATAGCAGTTCATTCCTGCATACAATGAAGGTACAGTTGATAAAAATCCATAGCAAATACATTCAGAGCATGAATTATTGTACGCTATGACAGCAGTAATATTGGTGGAAACGTATGTTGCATTGTAAATATAACCAATACGTATTGTACAATCAACGTTGACAACAGCCATTATCAGAATCAACAGGACTACTGATCGTATCATTCCTGACAACCGGAATAGTGTGATGTTGATATATTGTTCTATTTCTTTTTTGTAATAGACTGAAATAAAACTTTAACTATACATTACTTTATATTTCTTTTTTAATGAATTTTTAAGTGCTCTCCAGTTGAACTATCCATCATACTTTAACACCAAAATGATATATATTTATCTCTAAATAAAAACTACGCCATAACGCGTTCACTGACGTATGCAAAACTTCCATCATAGTCGAGTGAAACTGTCCTATATTCGTTTGAGAATCGATTTCAAATGTTTGAAGTTCGATTCGACGAGCTCTTTCTAATGGTAGCATCAGGTTTTCCATAGATTAAACTATGTCAAAAACAAACGTCAGAATATCACTTTGTGCCTGCTTCGTAAAACCATCTTATATTTGCCTAGGAACTTATTCCAAGTATCCATTTCTCTTCCAAGTACAACTCGATGAGCTCTGTCAATGATATAATCAGATTTTTTAAAGGCCAAAGCTCACTTCTGAAAAGTCCCGAACTCTAGTATTTTACAGTTTAAGTCCATAATATATAATGACATCTGTGACATTTACTTAGTAGGTATTTGCACAGCAATTATCTTTTTCTAAAAATATCTATTATGCTTTTAAAACTAACAGTTAGAAGTGCTTATATGACAATTTAAAGAGAAATATGAAATTTAAGAGTGAAAGTATAATATAGATGCAAAGAGTTTTATAATTTCCATTAGAGACCGAAACGGTGATAGTTCTATGCTCCTTCGCTTGCCTCGTTTCGAGAAAATTCTTCTCGCCTGGATTCGCTTCGTCTTTAAAAGGAATTGTCATTATTTGATGATATAATTGCTTCAGTCATACACTAGAAAAAAAGTGAGAAAAAAGATGAAATATAGAAAAAGAAAAGATGTTCGATATATATTGTCAATTAGGCGTTATTTATTATTCTATTCTATTTATCGAAGAAATAAAATGTCACTAACACTTGACAGATCTAAATCGGATCGTCGTTAATTGATAACTTGATCAACAGTAGAGAGTCTAAGCTGGACTACAACGAAATTATATAAAATTGAAATTATATGACAAGCTAATTTGATCAGGTGCAGAAATAATTGTTGATACTCTTTACAAAACACTAGAGGATTTAATTCATTTTTATCGTTATCCTCTTCAAAATCTGTATAAGAATCAACTTTATCATTCATTAATTGCATCAAAAACTTTCTCTGTTTCTTACGAGTGTGGGTGTAAATGTGGTATAAATATGATACCCAAACCTCCAAGATCGGGTGAGTCATAAGTAAGAAAACACAGTATTTTTTCAATGTCTATCTTGTAGATCGTCGGTTAAATCTTAAATTTATATAATATATACTAGATGATGGTAGTAACAAATCTGATATATGATCAGTCTTTTAATGCAGTAATTTATTCATATGCATCTGAATATATCACATTGTTTTTTGCGTTCTATTGGATTTTCATACTATTAATTAAATTCGAGTTAATTATTTTTGATCTCTTGTAGGCTGTATCTATTCAAAATATAATTAAATTATATATATTTAATACTATGAGAATCGAATGGAACTCAAAAAACATTAAATTTCTGTCAGAAGTACATACGAGCAATGAGTTATATTTGGATACTTTTAAATAAATTACCCTTGAAGATCATTTTTACTAAAATTTATTGCATTCATCATATTAATTTTATACAGATATATGTCTCTCATAAATTCTTCTCGACATTACACAACAAATTGTTCATTTTATTATTGTGTATATGTTCAATTTTCATTATATTATTGTATCTACTCAAATTTTTGAAACACAAGTTATACTCTTCAACTTGATATAGTCTGTAGTCGTCAGTGAAGGCAATTCATGTTAATATAGTAACAACAAAAAGATAAAATATGAATAAAATTTATTAAAATGAAGATTATATAGAAAGAAAGTTGATTTATGTAGTAAGCATGATTAATGAAAAAGAAACACAAGAAGACCAAGCATTAAATAAGAATATATAACAGATATAAAACGAGTTTTTAACTCAACTGATTGCACACACAAACTATAATAAATTAGTTGATGAAGTTATATATGAAATAAAATAAAACCAAAATGTTTGTAAAAAATTGTTCATATTTATTAAATTAATGGCAATAACCATTTGTATTACAACCATAACAGCAGGGTCTACCATCAGTACATAAATGCGGAAAATAGTTACAACATTGACCTGTTAAACATTGAGTGTCACAGCAAGTAGTTTCACTTGAACATATGAGACAGGCTATAAAAAAGAAGCATACATATTAATATTGTACGGATTGCCAAAGCATGTTTCTTGGCTTTTGTGCGATACTAACGAAACAAGAATTTCAACTTCTAAAATAAATGAAAAATCTTTTTTAAAGATTTGTAACGTGTACGAAACTCTATTTCTAGATTTCATAATCATACTAGTTTTTCCCTAGACTGAAAGGATAGGGTCTAGAAACGGGAATTATCTCTTTACATGTATTACTTTTGTCGGTAACATGGCACAAGTGACCATTTTTTTGGCACAAATAACCAAGGTAACTATGGTATATTGTTAATATTATAATTTTTATTTGCTATTATCGTTTTGTTTGGATAGCATAATATTTAATATATAATATTTTATTCAATTGTATCAAAACGGCGCGAACTTAAATACTTAATTGATTCATTAAAAAAGTGCGCGAACTTAAATATTTGAAATATTTCTTAATTATATATAGATCATTATTTTATTGAATAAATTAAAATAATGAGGCAACGCTAATTTTACTCTTAATATGGAGAAAGATAAAAATAATATTAATAACAAAAAAAGGAACGTTCGTATATACAGAGTATTATAATACTTTGAAAAATAAATGTTAAGCTATTTTTATTTAGAAGAAGAAGAAGAAGAAATACCCCGCCTTTCGGCTACCTTTCACAGTATAGGGTGATGTCCAAGGACATTTTCATAAGCCCGATATTCTTCCTACAAACTATTTCTAGTTGTAGCTCTGCACAGAAGGCCGGCCTGACGCAGAGTTCTTTTCGCTTAATTACTTAAGCTCCCCATACATATTGACTAACCACATACGAGCTACAAGAGCTATATTGTATGTCATCACGTAATCAACATGCTATCGGATGGGTGATCCGAGACAAATAGCCGTTAGTGACTTGTCCAAGGTCATTCCATAGCTGATGATACCGAGGTTTGAACACAGTACCTTGTGAATACGTGTCGAACAACGTAACCACTCAGCTATGGCGGCTTTTTTTTTTTTTTTTTTTATTTAGTATGTCGTTCACCATCATCGACAAGTATTTTTAATGCATGTTTGAGAAATGCGATGATGTACCGAAACGCCCTGTATGACGACTTATTAAAATAAGACCAAGAATGAGAAGCTTAGAAACATACGAATTGTAATTTGATAATTTTAAAATTTTAGTTGTTACATTATTGCAAAACATTTTTAATAAGTTTGTCAGTGTAATAGTCTTACTATAGTCCATATAGATAAAAGAGTTCACAATCAATTTTGATATATAACAATAAAGAGATCTGCACTGTAATTTGTTTTAAACCCTACTTTTTATAAAAATTGATTGTAATAAAGCTAAAACATTTTTAAACTTTATTATTCATTCATCAGATATCAAAACTTTTAGAAAATGCTTGATTTTATATAAAGTCGAAATTCAGTTTGATTGGCTGCTGAAAGTCATAACTAATATTGATTAATTCTCATTCGTATCTAAATACAGTTATATCCGCATGCAGACTGCGACAGTCTGGGGCCAGGTGAATCGAGTTTCGACGAACGTTACTTGTTAATTATAGGACAGAACAATATTAAAGGCCTAAAAACTTTTTAAGATTATTTAATCATAATTCTGAACTAAAAAAATTTCAACAATAGAATAAGTAGTATTTCAGTTTTTATCATTTAACTTTAGTTTACCTAATAAAGTGAAGATAAAGTATTATCTCTGGCTTACTATATAGAGGATATGGATAAATTTATAATAAAAGTTACATGCGCGCATATACCGACGCTCACATGTTGTATTTTTAAGTACTAGAACAAGACCGAAGGATTTATTTGCTCCCGTTTTATGTTATACACTAAATAGTAAAACTGTCATTTATCCTTTATTTCTTTAAGGGTGTGAGTGTGGGTATGATTAAAAGAACACACACGTTGCATTAACTTTTGAGTTTAAGCTGATATTTTCATTTAGAGTGTGAGGTGTAGGTGTGGATGTGAGGGTGGAGGATGAAAAAAATGTCGTCATGCACCCTCATACGTACACCCACTGATCACCTACACCCTTGTATACGAACACCCAAGAAACTGATTAATTTAATAGAATAAGGAAATGTGCTTTCATTCAAGTATATAAATAGGTTTTAATAAAATTCTGAAGCAACTAGCACAATATTACTGAAATAGAGCCCTGCAGGTTACGCCAGTAGCAGGGCAGGACAGGGGAAGATAATGAAAATGTTGATAGGGCAGTTTGCAGGGTACAAAGATCGTAATCTGTCAGCCTGCGACAAATTTTGCACAATAAATACTATTGACATCTTTTATAAAATTATACAAAATATTAAATCCAAATGTTGTAGACGATATGTTAATGATTTGAAATTTTCGAGATATGTGATATTGTTTTTGTTTATTTGTTTACTTTATAATTTAAAATAGCTTGAATAAAATTGTGCAACAAATTGATATGAAACTTGAAGGTTTTCTTATAATGTGAAACAGAGAAGAATAGTGTAACGAAAAATCAGTAAAGTATATAAACAATGAATAAATATCTTTTATGGAATAAATAAAAGCAGAATATAATAACAAGTAATAACACAAATGCTTCTGATTCCTTCTGTAACGAGCTTATGGTTCAGACTCTATTCCGTCTTCTAGTCTTCCAATACAATTCAGGCTAATTCTTTAATCATTACGTTGAGTCCAACCTTCGGCTCCAGTGTATGTGTTAAGACTGACTATATCTAATACAGAAAACAAGAGAAAAAGAAATAGAACAAGTGAAAGATACAGAATACAAGACAGATAAGTGTGATAAAGCAAGGGGGGTTATTGGAAAGAATGTTCCTCTATGTACTTGGTACAGATAGGTTAAAAGTTACGAAAATCTTTATAGGGCAGGGTACAGGTTCTGAAAGTGTCTTGCCAACAGGCCTCTATACTGAATATGCAATGTTCATTTTCAGGATCAGCCACAATTCGATAAGAAAACACCGATATTGTCTGCATAATAGTTTCCGACAATGATGTCGAGTTTGCCATCCGCATTGACGTCATCTACACTCACAGAGTAGGGTTCCGAACTAGCGCCAGTTGAATAAGACACTTGGGCAGCAAACGTACCATTACCCATGTTGAGGAAAACACCGACGTTATCTGCCGCGTAGTTTGCAACAACAATGTCCACATAGCTGTCACCATTAATATCACCTGTGGCTACATAATACGGTTTAGAGCCAGCGCCAGTTGAATAGGTGAGTTGAGCAACGAACGTACCATTGCCTGTGTTTAAGAGAACACCGACATTGAATGTTATGTAGTTTGCGACAATAATATCGGGTTTGCTGTCTCCATTGACATCAACGACGGCCACAGCGTTCGGTCCAGAACCAATGCCGGTTGAATAGGTTACTTGTGCACCAAACGTACCATTGCCTTTGTTGAAGAGGACACCGACGTTGTTTGAAGCGGAGTTTGCGACAATAATATCGGGTTTGCCATCTGCATTGACATCAACGACGGCTACTGAATATGGATGGCCACCAACTGAATATGTTACTTTTGCACCAAACGTGCCATTACCTGTATTAAGAAGAACAATGGTATTGTTTGCATCGTAGTTTGCAGCAATAATATCGGGTTTATTGTCGCTATTGACGTCAACGACGGCCACTGAATACGGATGAAAACCTGTGCCGATTGAATAGGTGACTTTAGCAGCAAACGTACCATTACCTGTGTTAAGGAGAACACCGATATTGTTCGAAGCGGTGTTTCCAACGATAATGTCGAGTTTACTGTCCCCATTGATATCGGCGAGTGCCATTGACCACGGGTCATCGGTAGTACCAATCGGATAGATCACTTGTGCAACAAACGTGCCATTACCTGCGTTGAGAAACACGCCGACTGTGCCTGTTTTGTAATTTGTGACAATAATGTCGGCCTTGCCGTCTCCATTGACATCACCTACTGTAACAGGATACGGTCCAGAGCTAGGACCAGTTGAATATGTCACTTGTGTCGGAAATCTATTGGTACATGGAGCTATAACGAAAAAAAATTGTTATTAGCATCTGCCTGATTAGGAAGAATAACTATATCCGAACATTTTTTGAGGGTGTGGGTGTCTTCTTCTTCTAGAAACCTACACTCACAACCATACCAACACTCAATAAAAAGGATATCAACATCCAACTTACATATGTTTATATTTAATCATTTTTTCTTATCAAAAGTTCTAACAGAAACCACTGGAGAACATAGGTCGAAAAAGCGACTGTCATGGAGAAAACATATCGTGGATTCATCGAAAATGTTTACGGATAAGACATGTTCTCTGTTGTTATTTATCTAGGTTGAGAAGATTCACTGGGGAAAACTCAAACTTCAAAATTAAGTCATTCGAACAAACAATCGATTAAACACCTATATAAGGTACTACAAATCATCTAACATAATACTGACTAGTGGTTGTTGATGCCGTTGTCGATGTTGTTGTTGATGTAGTTGTCGATGTTGTTGTTGATGTAGTTGTCGATGTTGTTGTTGATGTAGTTGTCGATGTTGTTGTTGATGTAGTTGTTGATGTTGTTGTTGATGTAGTTGTCGATGTTGTTGTTGATGTAGTTGTTGATGTTGTTGTTGGTGACGTTGTTGATGCAGTTGTCGATGTTGTTGTTGGTGGTGGTGACGTTGTTGATGTCGAATGCGATGATGCGATCGGTTCTGTTTTGAAAGAATGAAATTAAAATGAGATAAAATATATTGGATAAGATATAACTCAAAATTCAACATTTCTCGATCTATTATCAAAACATCTGGTTTTGATGGCATTATGCCAACGTTTAATGGGCTCAATTAGATTCTTCTGTCTTTCTTCTTTTAATCATATTTATATTACAATAATTCAAACGAATAAACTTACACGAAGTACGACTTTTGCAATGAGGTTTTTCAAATCCTGCACGTAGAGTTATATGATATTTCTTTATCAAAATTTGAGTCGAAAATATAGTTTTTACAAATACAGAACTTCGAAAAGAGCCTGTTCAAATCTGTATGATGGGGGCGGGATGAGTATGACGAAAAAAATAATATAATATGTGCATCCGTATCTACATCCTCAAGACTACAGTTTTTTCCGAAAACTTTTCTATGGATATTCTAATAGTTGAGATGTCACTGATTTTACTGTATTCTCAATATTATAATATCAACTGAATCATGATAAAAATAGGGTATATTTATTGAACAGTGCTTGAAATATCAGTATAGATGGAAGGAAAATTTCCTCGAGGTCTCGATAGAATATTATAGTGCCGTTGCCACTACTTTTGGTATGACCTAAATAGATGTTTAATTACCCGTTGTTGTATTTTGTGATAAAGGTTGTTGTATAAATATAAATATTGAATTAAGGTCAGTCTTGATTATCGATGATGATAAATAATAATTAGCAAATAGTGCACACGTTTTATTATTTGTATAGCAGTTCATTCCTGCATACAATGAAGGTACAGTTGACAATAATCCATAGCAAATACATTCAGAGCATGACTTATTGTACGTTATGACAGCAGTAATATTGGTGGAAACGTATGTTGCATTGTAAATATAACCAATACGTATTGTACAATCAATACTGACAACAGCCATTATCAGAATCAACAGGACTACTGATCGTATCATTCCTGGCAACCGGAATAGTGTGATGTTGATATATTGTTCTATTTCTTTTTGTAATAGACTGAAATAAAACTTTAACTATACATCACTTTCTTTTTCTTTTTTAATGAATTTTTAAGTGGTCTCTAGTTGAACTATCCATCACACTTGAACATCAAAACAATATATATTTATCTATAACTAAAAAGTACGTCATAACGCACTCACTGATGTATGCAAAATTTTTATCATATTTTTGAGTAAAACTGTCCTATAATCGTTTGAGAATCTATTCTAAATGTTTGAAGTTCGATTCGACGAGCTCTTTCCAATGGTAGCATCGGGTTTTCCATAGATCAAACTATGTCAAAAACAAACGTCAGAATATCACTTTATGCCTGCTTCGTAAAACCATCTTATATTTTCCTAGAAACTTATTCCAAACTTTCGTTTCTTTTCTAAGTACCGCTCGGTGAGGTCTATCAAGAATATAATCCGATTTTTTAAAGGCCAAAGCTCACTTCTGAAAAGATCCAAGTTCTAGTATTTTACATTTTAATTCCATAATATATGATATTATTTATATCATTTATTTACCAGGTGTTTGTATAGCAATTATCTTTTTCTAAGAATATTTATCACGCTTTTAAAAGTTATACTTAGACACGCTTATATAAAGATATGAAGAGAAATATGAACTTTAAGAGTAAAAGTATAATACAGAGGCAAAGAGTTTTATAGTTTCCATTAGAGACCAAAACGGTGATAGTTTTTTGCACTTTCGCTCGCCTCTCCCGAGAAAACTCTTCCCGCTTAAGTTTTTTTCTTGTTCTCAGATAGACTCGCTTCGTCTTTGAAATAAATTGTTATTATTTAATGATATAATTTCTTTTATGAAACATTAGAAAAAAAGTGAGAAAAAAGCTGAAGTATAGAAAAAGAAAAGATGCTCGATATATACTGTTAATTAGGCGTTGTTTATTATTGTTAGAAAACGCGTGTAATTGAAAAGAAAGAACATAAATCTATCTATATATATAAAGGAGAATGTTTGTCTGTTTGTTCTTTATGCATTTGAAGACCGTACGAGCAAATGCAATGAAACTTTCCAGAAATGATCTCTACACTCAGGGGAAGGTTGACATCTACTTTGTTTCGAATAAAAATAAATGCTACGTTTGCTACAGGCAATCTAGAAAACTGACCAATAGGATTGCAGCATTTCAAAAAGTAAAAAAATGGGTAGCGAAGGCCATCTGAGAGCACATCTTATGTTCACTATGCATTCAGTCCCTATAATAGCTATGATCAATAAAGTTTTCACGACGCTTCGTTAGGTCCCAAGGAAGGTCGACGGGGGCTTGACATGGTCATCGGGGAATGGGGAGGAGGCGTGAGTGAAACTTCACTCAGGTGGTTCTGTAACAGCTAACGTCACCAAACCATCAATCACACTTCTATATATACAAGGAAAAGTGAAGAGGGTGTCGGATACCGAAGGTGCTTGAAATTTAACCATTTTGCAGCGGTAATTGCACAAGGATTTTTTTGTAGCGGGAATTGTGTGAGAGAGATATTTTGCAACAGGTACTTCCGCTAGTGTTAATATAGTGACAACAAAAGGATAAAATATGAATAAAATTTATTAAAATGAAGATTATATAGAAAGAAAGTTGATTTATGTAGTAAGCATGATTAATGAAAAAGAAACCCAAGAAGACCAAGCATTAAATAAGAATATATAACAGACATAAAACGAGTTTTTAACTCAATTGATTGCACACACAAGCTATAATAAATTAATTGCTGCAGTTATATATGAAACAAAATAAAATCAGAATGTTTTGAAAAAATTATTCATATCTGTTAAATTAATGGCAGTAACCATTTGTATTACAGGTATAACAGCAGGGTCTACCATCAGTACATAAATGCGGAAAATAGTTACAACATTGACCTGCTAAGCATTGAGTGTCACAGCAAGTAGTTTCACTTGAACATATGAGACAGGCTATAAAAAAGAAGCATAAATATTAATATTGTACGGATTGCCAAAGCATGTTTCTTGGCTTTTGTGCGATACTAACGAAACAAGAATTTCAACTTCTAAAACCAATTAAAAATCTTTTCTAAAGATTTGTAACGTGTACGAAACTCTATTTCTAGATTTCATAATCATACTAGTTTTTCTTCAAAGTATTACAAAATTGCTGAACTAACAAATGTAATCAAAATTGTACCAGCAGGCATGTTGAATATTACGTATATTTCGTTTAATTTGAAAAAGATACATTAAAGACATTAAGGTATATTTTTTCTTGCTTACTTGTTGTTGTAGTGGTGGTAGTAGTAGTACTAGTTGCTGTTGTGCTTGTAGTAGTAGTCGTTGTAGTACTTGTTGTTGTTTTAGTAGTTGTAGTAGTAGTGGTACTACTAGTTGTTGTTGTGCTTGTGGTAGTAGTAGTGGTAGTACTAGTTGTTGTTTTTGTAGTTGTGGTAGTACTTGTTGTTGTTTTAGTAGTCGTAGTTGTAGTGGTAGTACTTGTTGTTGTTCTTGTAGTCGTAGTCGTAGTAGTAGTACTAGTAGTTGTTGTGCTTGTGGTAGTTTTCGTAGTGGTACTTCTTGTTGTTTTAGTAGTTGTAGTAGTGGTAGTTGTAGTTGATGTAGTGGTTGGTTCTGATTTAGAAAGAAAATGATATAGACATGAGAGAAAAAGATTAGATGATGTTTTTCTTATAACTGAATTCTTTTCAGCCTGTTTATAATGTTCATCATCCTCAGTGTGTTGTAATAAACTTATATAAGTTTCTATTAATAATTATATCTTCTGTTTTCTAAAACATCTTTACTAATCATCTATGCCCTGCGTATATACTTCAAAACTTAAATTTTGAATAATTTTTCCCTTAAAGTATTTTGAAAATGTACTAACCAGATGGTATTCTTGTTCCCGAATCGACGATCATAGTAACAATGTCTGCATGAGCCGATAAATAACTGTTATAGTTCGCTAAAGAAGCAAATAGTTCACAAGTTAAAGTTGATTGTTGAAAACTGGCCGCCTGACAATGAATTTGAGTTAAGCAAGCTATTTGACAATTGTATATATCTGTTTCATGCATAGTGGCGAACGGTACACAAGTTGTATCACCACATTGAAATTGCCTGCCAGTCATTATAGACATCTCAAATGAACGTATATCTTGTGTGACTACTTGTTCAATAAGAACAAATAGTAACCAAAGTAAAAATCTTTTACACAACATAACTCATTGAAGTTGATGTTAATGAAAAGAGTTTAACTGAGAATGAAGTACAAACATCTGTAAAGTAATAAATATAATTTTATTTTTCTTTTCTTCGTCAGTACTCAGAAAAAAATATTCACAAGCTTTTGTTTCCTTAGAAACATTACAAATATTTCTATTTCAAAATTAGTCAACGTTTGTTTTTACAAAAAAAAAACATCTAATCAAAAAAATTACTATTGCCTAGGCCATCTTCAGCTTGAATTCATAAATTTATATGTTGGACGTAAGAAAAATCAGAGTTAAATACGAATTTTTTTGATGAAATACATCGAGAGACTTAAGCTTGATTTTACATTGAAAGATGGTATTTTAAGGAGAAAGTCCATTCTCGATCAGAAGAAAGAATAGATATGGGTGTGTGGTAAAACGAGTGAGTAGATAATATGAAAATTAAACAACATCTGACATAATAAAACATTAGATCTTACACAAAAAGCTTGATATATATTGTATATTAAGTGTACTGTCTATACGCCTGTTTTTCTCTCTCTCAATATAAACAATATATAGGATGAACAATCAATGATAATACAAATCAATTCAATTTATTTTTCATACGACCACCATCAATATATAATTATTTCTATCCAATAACATCAGTACTAAAAAGAATGCGTGAGACAAGAACATAACGATAATGAAATAGTATCAAGAGAAAAATATGTGTGTTGTATACATCATCCATATGATAATTAAATAAAAGAAAAAAAAATATGAAATTGAATTGATGTTATATCTCGGTAGTGAATAACAATGATTCTTTTCATTAAATATTAACTGTTTAGCGTGTGCCTCGTTTTCTTTTGTACTCGAGGTTGTTTTCTATTTTGTTAATTAAGATATAACAATCTGTTGAAAACCTGCTATTAACATGTGCAGGGAAAAGGAATAGTTTCTACTTGATCTTATATTTTGAATTAAACAAACTATTGTCGATTTGTTGAAATAAAAGTACATTTAATTTTCTATTTCAAGGACAAGATCATTTTTAACTTTGATTCAGAGTATTATAAGAGTTAAAAGAAGTCTGGAATCATATTTCTTTCGTAATACTAAAAAAACAAGTTTTATAGAAAGGGTGTGGGTATTTTATTCATCTCACACCCATACCCTATGTTCCTTTGCTACTTGACACACGTTATCTATGTCTAGATCATCAAAACAAACGATCAACATGCTCGAAATCTATAGTAGAGAGGACGTATGCGATCTGTTTCCACACACACACTATAATTCTATACTTCAGAAAGTAAATAACGAAATGAATTATTTATTCAGTTAGATATCTATGAACATGAAGTCCATCAAATAATAAATTATCTGTAAATGAAATTATTGCGTTCGAACCAACTAGCTAATCTAAATCAGATAGAGAATTAAGATACTAAACAGGTTACATAAAGACACGAATAAACAATAAAAGAATTGTTTTTTGCTGTTAAACTTTACTTTTCGCCGACAAAAAATTATAACAAAACAATAAACAGCGAAGTGGTGTGTTTTTATTTCTCGAAAGTTAAAAAGAAAAAGTTACTTTCACTTTTTCAACAGTTGCCAGGACTAATGGGTAAAAATTTCACACATCCTTCTACCGTTATTAGTAGATAGATATTTTCAAAACACATCATGCATCTATCATACTGGTGAACTAAGATGTTATTATATTTATACAGCTATCTTCATTTGAAATTTAGCCACAACAAACTCCTACAATCACAAAGACCTTTATATAACAATTTATAAATATACTCTTTACTCATAGGCAATCATGGTTTCATCTCTGGTATAAATATGTTCTTTAGTCCTGTTTGTCTACTACCTATAATAAAAAAAGGAAGAACATTGTTTACTTTCATTGTACTGTTACTTCAATTCAAATGGAATTGAAAGAAGAAATTGTATGAAAGAAAAACACTGCATAGATTATTTTTAAAAGCAATAAAGAAATGTATGTCTATGAAAACAACAAACATCACATATAAAAATCACGAACGAAACAAAATGGATTTTTTCTCTTTCGTAAAAATGAAGCACGACGGCATTTTTTTCTGCCAAACTGAAAGCTTTTAAGTTGGAAAGAATGAAATTTTAATGGTTGTTTGTAAGTAATTTTTAATCTGCCTCTAACTTGGAAAAAATTCAGCTTGACGATTGAAATAGTTGACCGTTGTATATAATCACATATGCAACGTAATATAGAGGTTTACTTGATATAAAAACCATATTATCGATGTTTTAGATATAGAAAGAATAAAATGGCTCGTTCTACCAATGATTCATCTGAACATCGAAAATTAGCCTTAATTATAGGGAATAGCAATTATAGTCGATCAGAGAATCGATTAGATTATGCTAAAAACAATAGTCGAGATCTTAGCAATTTGTTGAAAACAATTGGCTTCAATGTTACACTCGTCAATGATGTAGATAAGCATGAAATGACCACGCATGTTATTGATTTTTCTAAAAAAATTTGTGACGGTGATTTGGTATTCTTCTACTTTTGTGGCCACGGATGTCAAGTCAAAGATGAAAATTATTTGATACCTGTTGGAGATAAGCAAATAGAAAAGGATAGAGATATTGACGATTTTGCTTATAAATGTGAAAGAATGATAGAACGTCTGACAGAAAAAAATCGATTATACGTAACAATAGCTATTTTCGATTGCAGTAAACCATACTTATTGAAAAGCAGCACATCAAAATCACATTGTAAGTAATATTATAGAAGATTTTGTAAAAAATAATAGTTATGTTACTTTAGCTCTAATCAAAACTAAAGGACTAAATGAAATCAAGCCACCACCTGGAGTATTTATACAATTTGGTTGTGCTGCTGATCAAATGGCTAGTGATAATTACAGAATCAATGATAATAATTTGTATGGCAAACATTTGTTAAAAAATATTGCTCAAGAAAATGTAGATATTATTGATGTTTTTCAACGTATAATGGTTGATGTATCTCAAGAAAGCAATAAAAGTCAACAACCATTATCGATGAATGGGCTAAATCAACATCAGCCAGTCTATCTCAATCAAGTAATTGTGACTGTTGAAGGTATTAACTCTATCTCTTAGTCTCACAGCTACGATCCAGATCTTTTATATAGTTAATATTTTTCTAACTTTTGTAGAATGGGATAAAATCAATCCAAATGATATGGAATCCGTACTGAAAACTCAAACAGCATTGCGCGCTTGTTATGATACTTTTCCAGATATCGAAGAGGTTATACAGCGAAATAAAGAAAATGTTGAAAAAGCTGAAAAATTTACGCAAGAGATATTATCTAAAGTACCATCAGGAAATGTCACTGAAAGAGATACGGCATGTCATATACTACATAATTTACTTGGACAAGAAAATCAAAAATGTTTATTTTTTGATTCAAGTCAAGGTATGAAACTTCATGATGCATCTGGAACTTTAGCTGATCTTAGTGTTAAAGAAAGACCATTTGTTTTAAAATTAAATAATATTGATGGACTTGGTAATAAGACTTATGTCAATGGTGGAGAACATAATTTGAATGCTATTCATACATTAGAAAATGCAGTTGAACACAATCAATCACATCCAGTTATTGAAGATATAGTTGATCGATTAGCTAAAGCACATAATGTTGATAAAAAAAATATTGTTATAAAAAATTTTTATGTTGGATCATGTGGTATAGTTTATTTAGTTACGGACTTACCAGATAAGTTAGTTAAATCACTAACTAACGTTTCGGAAAAATTACATAAACAATTTGAAGAATTCAAAGCTGCAAAAATTCATCCGCTATTATATCGACCAGCATTTGATATAGCTCAATTTGATGTTCGTGGTAATAAAACATTTACAAATCAAGAACTAACACACCAGATTGGACCATCTGGACGAACTCAATTATATACTCCACCAGCTGGATGGACAAGATATGGATTGAAAGTATTAGGCAAATTTCCAAATGATGAATGGTTACATCCATTCAGCCACGCCGGAAATTGGTATAGAGCTTATCACGGAACAGGGCGTGCAACAGCAGCAGACTTCGGTAATCCTGATAAAACATTTAGTCCGGACTACGCCAGTATCGATGCTGCCGCAAGTATTCACGAGAATGGATTTCGTAAAGCAAGAGTTGCTGTTCATGGAGACGGTATATATTGTTCTCCAAATCCTACTTTTCCAGAGAATGGCTATGTCAGTACTGTTAAAATGAATACTAAACAAGGTGAGAAATCTTTTAAGTGTATGCTGCAAGTGGCTGTAAATCCAGATGGTGTGAAGATTGCCACAAACGATATATGGGTCGCTCAAGAGCCCAAAGATATCCGTACTTATGGAATACTCATTAAAGAAGTTTGATTTAAAAGTGAACACAAGTTTTCGTATATAGCGGACGATATGAAACGATTGAACTATTTTTGTTTTACTTTTTTCACATTATCTTGAACTTGTTTTCAAAATCTCATTTTAGCTAAACACAATAAAATATGTATTAAAAAATTTTTATTTACGAAAATTATCTTATTCAATAGAACAAAAAGTGCGAAAGTTTTCAAGCAAATATTCTCCTTTGAGATTAAGTTTTGTAATAGAGTAAAAGTATATAGCATTCAAAACTAAGTCGATGAATATTATTCGTCGAACCATATATCCAATTTCTTGTCTTCCACAGACCACATAAATTTCATTATTGGTTCTTTTTTATGTAACCATTGTTTTAAATGTTCTTCGTCAATTACTTCAGGTTCATTATAGATAATAGCATAAACTAAATGAGGTAATCCATTCATCAGAATAGGTAAACTTTCAAATTCGCTTATGCGCAATTCAATATATTCCAAATTGGGAAATAAATGTGTGATTATTTTCATATCATTTCGATTATAATAGTAGCAATGCATAGATTTGCTAAGAAATAATTTCTTAAGTGTATATATTGGTGAAGAAATTCTCTTGAAATATTCAATATTACCATCATAGCATCGTATTGTTAATGAAGTGAGATTGATCATCACTGATAGACTTTCAATAAACTCTGAAACACTTATAATGCAATTTCGAACCTTAGTTAAATCAACATAGTCGAAAACAATTGAAGCATCATAATCGTGATTAGAGTTATGGACAGACGCTGTATGAAGCGTTGTAACATTGGTGTAACGACGATTTCGAGCTGTTCTGCTCGCTGATCGATCTAATGTGGGTAATAATCCAAGCATTCTTACACTTTGAAAATTTGGATTTGATGAATTTGAGACCCATTGGACATTTGGACGAAAGATAATTTTACTGTTAACGGGTGGAGGTAAACTATAAAGTTCAATTGTATCAACATCATTTTCAGGTCGATCAGCAATAAAACACCAATTTTTTTCCTTAGTCCAAAAAGAACTACGAAATGGTTGAATTATATCTGCAGGCGATATAGATTGTGTTGATTCAAGGCCCACATTTAAGCGAAAGTCAATTAAGTTTCGTAAATATTTACGAATTAACCCTTCCCATACTTTACCATCTTGATATTCTGTTCCATAGCTATTGTCACATATGAATGTGCTTAACCAGAATGTGTGTAAATGTGGAAGAGCACGAAGAAGTTGTTCAATAATCTTAAAACGAATTATGCCATTTATGGTCATAACGAGTTTTTGTAAATTACGTGCAAAATCACGATTATATGAGTTTTTCTTAATCTCATCTATGCTTCGTTCCGTCAAGTGAACATCGATGGAAACCAATTGAGGTAATACATTCAAAAGCCGATGAAAAGTATTAAAACTAATCGGAACTTTGAGTATAAAATTTTGAATATTTGGAATAGTTGAACGAAGTCTATCTAAATTGCCCTCGTAAAGATATAAACTTGATGAACGTTCTGTATAACCAAGAGTGAGATACACAAGACGGGGCATATTCGTATTCATGAATGTATTTATAAATTTTCCATAGAATTCTTCATGATCGTGCATAATAGTTAATGAACGAAGATTTATTAATCGATTTAAATGTTGAGCAATAATATTCATAGATTGTTCGGTTATATGAGTTAATGTCAAAACTTGCAATTTATATTCGACATTGTTTGATTTTAATTCAATAAAGAACTGATAAGTAGATTCATCCATGATTCTTGGACAAAAACGAATAGCAAATGGATTTTGAAGTCTAGGTAGAATATATCGATAAGTGAAATCACATTGAAATCGACGACAAAGACTAAGATCTATTTTCATTGAACTAGTTTGTAAAGAATTATTCAAACGAGTATTTAAATTGTGGAAAGCAAACCATGCATCAAGACTAGTTAAATAACCCAGTATGTTAAGGACTAGTTCATTTGGTAACTGATCAAATTTAGTACGTGCCATTAGTGTAAGATAGTATACGTTTGAATTGATTAATATTTATAATAAAGAGATATTTACCAATTGCCCACTAATTTCAATATATGTGTGTGTATATGTCTGTTCGTGTTCTTGGAGAAATGAAATGTCTGTGTTGACGGTAAACATGAGAATTCTTTTTAATAAAAGTGTCACAGAAAAAAAGCAATGAAAAATTCTTGCACCGTCAAAATCAATCTTAGCTGTACCATTTTCTCTTCTCTTTTATTATTGCACGTGGTAATACGAAAACAGTATGTAAACATATACACAAACGAAACTTTCATAAAATAGGCAATGAATATTGATCGGTGCGCGACGCTCTTGAGGGTGTAGGTGTGAATGTCTATCTTTTCTCAATTCACCCACACCCAACCAGAGAACTAATTTGAATTGGAACTATACCATTATACAGATAATTATTTGATGGATAACATAGTTATTGTCTTATATAATCTTAATAATTACTTTTCTTTTCTTTTTTTCACATTGAACTGTAAATAGAATTTTGTAGTTCTTTCAGTCTCGATTAATAACAACTCAACCCGAAGTTACTACATAAAGTTGTTGTTATCAATGCATTGTGGATATAATACTTTTGAAATTGTTTCTTTATTTATCAATAAGCAAAACACACTTAGAGAGAAAAATATTACATGATGAAATAATTCAGTTTAATCAAAAAAAATCTATATTAATATATTTATTCACTCTGAGCAGCAATTTGCTTCTCAATAAACTCGACGAATGCATTATATACTTCTTCTTTGGATTTAGTTCGATCATAAGAGAATGAACCACTTGCTGATTTACCATTTAATTTAACTATATCGAAACTTGGACGATAATAGGATGCACGATATGTACATATCATATCACCTAGAAAAAGAAAATGATAGAGAAAATAATAATTACTTTTGATATACATTCATACCTTTTTGTAAAGTCATTCCAATATTATTTCCACATCCCCAGAAATTATCTTTAGATTCAACGTGACTCCATCCATTCCATACTTCATCACTACTACCACCAATATTCCAATTTTGATCACTTGATCGAAGAGCTATACGTGCCATGGTTAATAAATAGAAACTACGATTGTTACTAAAGAGAAGCAAAATACTGAATAAATAGTTACCTTCGTTTGCATCAGTAATATATACATGTATAAGAAGCTGATAGGTGATTCATTTGTGTAATACATATGTCATTCTTTTCTCTTGATTATTGCACCACGAGAATGAAAGTGGATTGAAGAATGAATCAGTCCACACGTAAGATATGACGAAGGAAGACGATAGAAAAGGAAAAAGAAAATAATATCAACCTTTTTGTATGTGACAACAAGTGACAGTAATTTGACTGTCATCAAAGAAGTACACTGACTCACTGATTCAAAGGGTAAAACTACGAAACACGTGTTTCATTCTTTGTTGAAATTACATTCTCTTTATTATAATTCAAAATAAATTAAGTAAAACAAAGAGTTGTGAGAAAGTCATTGATAAAATATGCATCTTCTAAATGACTTATTTATTGCAATATATGTATAAATGAAACTATACAGAAGCAAAGTGAGAGAATCGAAAAATGAATGAAAAATTAAGCAGAGAAACAGTAACTATACATTTCTAATTACTGATAAAAGGCAAAAAAGAAAAATGTAGGAGTTGATAATATAATGGATTGCTCTCAACAAAGCTTATTCGTTTGAATGCTGTGCTAGTTATTAGACTAACGACAGTAGTGGTCATTTGACTGGATGCATGACTTGTCATTATTCATGCTGCAAAAAAAAGTAAAATTTTATTTAGTTTTTAATAACCAATGATTATTAAAAATGTAAGAACTGAAATTAGTTCGTGTTGAAGATTATATAATATCAATAGTATGACTTTGAACTGTGGTTATAGCTGTAAAATAAATAAAAAAGAGACGATAAACTATTGTTTTTATTCAATTAAGTCAATAAAAACATATAAATACGTTGTTATTATTAACTTAACAAAAAATAAATATTTCAAGATCTATTTTTTTAGTATTTTCTAAACTGAAAGGATCTGTGTCCTATTAGAAATCATATCACTAGAAGAAACTTACGACAACGGTTGGATTGAAGATAAAATGTTTGAATTCTGCCGTTGTCATCATCGCTCACGAACATATTACCATACGTATCGAATGCCATATAACGAGCATTGAGTAATGTGTCTGCTCTTGATCCACTAGAACCCGAACATCCAGCGACACATCGAAATCCAGCAGAACTCGATGCAACAATACGAGAATTACCAGTATCCATGATGAATAGGTATCTGTTTCCGTCAAGCACAATACCAGTCGGACTAGTAAGTGTAATGGTTCCCGACGCCATAGCTCCTGCTACCGTTGTAGCATTCAATTCATCGAACCCAAATCGCTGAATTCGATGGTTTCCAGCATCTGCTACATACAAAGTGAAGTCTGTATCAACATAGATTCCCCATAGATAATCGAGCAACGATGATGTCGATCCACTTGAACCATTTCCAGCTATCATCATTTGTATGCCTGAAACACTGATGAGATCAACTTTGAATACATTGTTGAAGTCAGCTAATGAACAGTATAATGTGTTATTCGTATCAATAAAGAGACCAAAACATGGTTTGTTAATATTCATTACACGTGTTCCGATCGTGGCATTTAATGTCGACTTGTCGACTTGACCATTCGACGCGCCATTGTCAATATAAACATCACCATTCATTGCAACAAACAAACTGTATGGCCCAGACAGGCCACCTTGAATAGTTCTTGTGGCAGTTGAACTGCCATTAGGCCATACTTTAACGAGACTGTTCCCCCAGCTACCTGCGTAGAGAGTATTGTATATATCGATAAAGATCCCATGAGTGTAGGGGCCAAGTGTACTTTGATCTGCAAAAGTAGTCGCGTCTGGATTCCACAATGCACATGAACTAAACATAGGTCGATTATACCATAGACCTACAAAGATAATAAAATATTATTAACTAATCAAATATGTTTGGATATTTTACAAGAATTATCACTTACCTGTAAAACTACTAGTAGTTTCTTGAATGGCAGCAGTAGTCAATTGTATATCATCAATGGGTAATGAAATAAAGTAAACTGAACTATTCGAATTACTCACTAACAACAATTGACTTGTTACAACAGATTCGGAGAATATTTCACATGTGTCATTATTTCGAAAACAATTAAAAGAAGAAATCGGTGCTACATTCATTAGCATTAGACAAATACACTGATCACAAGTGCTATTGATAATTGTTGTCGAATTAAAATTTGAAACATGCATAGAAACATTATGGATCACTGGAACTTGTGTTAAACTGCCAGAAATAATTTCCAAATATTGAAAAAAAAAAGTACAGAAAAAAATAATCCACATATTGTTATTTGAATAATGAAAGAAATGTAATAAAGTACTAGCTATAGATTGATCGTTAATTTTTTTTTGTAAAAAGTATTTTATAGAAAAAATGACACCAATATTATCGGAATGTTTGTTCAGAATTTATCGTAAAATGTACGATAATTAACAAGGTACGATTAAGTATTTGTTTTCTTCGGCTGCTACTTTATTTGACACTAGTGATAGAACATGAAGATCGAAGAAAGAAAAAAAACTTATTTGTTTGTCATTCTCTTCATCGATCGTTATATATTTGAATAGTATTTTGACAATATTCTAATATAAAGAAAATATTGTTTCTCTACTGTCGGAAAGAAAGAAAAATGTACTATTACCAAGTGAAAGAATATGTCCACAAAAACTAATTATTTAATCAAGTCTGCATTATATATAAATCGTAGGTGAAACTGCTAAAATTTTAGTCTGAAAAGTACGAATGAATAATGAAAAAAATATTCTTGAGTGCGGGTGTGGGTGTACGTATGAATGAGATACAAATATGATACTCACACCCATACCCACAATAACAATAAGACTTTAAATATATTTAAATCAAATAAAGATAAAACAATACTATTTTTTATCAATCATTTTATTTATTTATCGCCCGATGAACATGTTAATTAGACAAATACTTTCTTAAATGATTCTTAAAATCTAACGAAAAATAAAGATGAAACTGTTTATTGTGTTTTAAAATAATAGTATCTGTTTTATATAAATGTATTCATCACATTATTATCGATATTTCGTAGTTAATGTGTCAGATGAAATCATAATCGAAAATTTTACTCAATTAAATATGTATAACTCTTCTTAACGATTAATCTGTTCAAATTGATTGATTAATTCTTTTATCTGTTTAATAGTAGAGAACATTCCAGAAGAAAACTTATTCATTTCGTAAGTTTAACTTTTTATTATTGAGAGGTCAAGAGATGAAGTAGAGGCTACAGAATCATTCCTCGTAAATTTTCTTTATTTGTCATCAATAAAAGAAAAAAAAAGAGAAGGATAATGATAAACACGCGTTCTTTTTCTGCTTTTTCTTCGTCTGTCTTGGAAATATGACCGGGCGCGTCTGTTCTTCTACCAATAATTATTTCAGTTTTTTTTCATTCTTTCTTTTATTCGAATGGTTCGACGACTAAAGAAAAAGATAAGAGAGAAATGCGTTGCTTCCATTCTCAATTTATTCTTTATATCGTCGACATATAAAATTGACTGAATATATAATTCGTAAGTTAGAATAATTTATATCTGGAAAATATGTTATTATTAATTTATTATTAGAAATCTAATGGATGCAATCAAAGCTGGAATTGAAAAAGTCAAAGAAGCTGTTGACAGTAAAAAAGCTGATGATAAACTTGAAAAAGCACTTGATCCAAATGTAAAACCAAGTGAAAGATTAGATGCAGAATTCGAAGCGAATAAAGCAGCTGCTAAAGCTGCTGAACATCATGTCAAAGCCGAACAATATAAAGCTAAACATGTCAACAACTAAATATTTTAAATGTTTTTTTTCTTCAATAAAATAATCAATGGATATATTCACTTTTATTTAACTATTAATTCAGTTTCGTATACAATTATCTTTATTTCCAAATAAAATCGCACATATGGGTTTTATATTGATGTTAAAAGACTTAGTAACGTATCTTTTTTCAAGAATAATTCATTTTCTGCTTTGATTAATATTAATGTTGGTAGAAACATTCTAATTAGTACTGTAATAGAAAGTGTTGGGAAGAAAACATCACTATTTTATCCGGTTAAAAATCTCGTACAGTTACAATAAAGACAGTCCATTAGCATTTCTCTTACTGGAGTTATCAATCAACAAAAGATTGTTTTGTTCGTTGTACGGTAATATATCTAACAGAATTATATACAAATATAACGCCATATTCAATACATGTTATGAAAAAACACATAAGATAATTTATTGGTTTATAAGAATTTCTTAGAATATCTTTATAAACATTTTAATTTTTGAGGGTGTGAGTGTGGATATGATTAGTATAACTACCACACGCCCACATTCTCAAGTAGGTCTACGTTTGAAATAAATCATACGAAAAATATCTGATATAGATTGATAAGTATCTGAATAATGTTCAGATGTATCTAGGTAAAGATGTGAGTATCGACAAATAAGATATATAATACTTACATCACATCACATTCTCAAGTAGTTTTATTAAGATTTTAATAGCAAAACAAGATCAATATATCATCGTGTTCATAATAAAAATATTTTCTTTTATTGATTAATTAAGTTAACAAAAAAAAGAGATAAACAAGGACAATTCACACGATAACAGAAGGAACTATATGTAATGCAATAATGAAATAAGCCAAAGAACGAATAAAAGAATAACTAGTGGGTGCGAAAGAAAAACAATAAAGCAAAATTCGAGCAGCCGCGAATAGCAACGATAAGAAAAATTACAAGAGAAAAATCTAACTACAATGGAAACCACTACACGATAAACAAAACTTACATTGGAACTATATGTTTCATCAATATGATATAATCCAATATTAACTTATTATTATGTAGTTTCTGAAGAGATATGATCATGGCAATTATGGCTGTTTTCATCTTTATATTATATATATAAATATACACTATAGGAAAGAATACTATACTACTAACTTTCTAATGTTTATGTTAGAGCATTTATATTGTATTTAAAATGTATGGAAAAAGAAAAATGTTTAAAGATACAATTTTTTGACATTCTCATATATTGCTTAGGACTAAATTTTCGGAAGATTTATTCAAGTTTGTGATATCGTTTTAATAAAATTACTGGTTTTTGTCGCGCAATCAGTTCATGGAGTGATGTTTTTAATCCAATAATGAAATGCTAATGTAAATCTTGAGTGTAGTGTATGAATAAATATTAAGAATGAAGGAGAACACTGACGTTGTTTGATCCATAATTAGCGACAAGAATATCAAGTTTATTGTCATTATTCACATCAGCTACTGCTACTGAGTATGGTTTGCTACCAACCGCGTAAGTAGTTTGAGAGAGAAATGTGCCATTACCTGTGTTAAGAAGAATACCAATGTTCTTCGATCTAGAATTGGCAACAACAATATCAGGTATGTTGTCGCAATTCATATCGACCACTACTACTGATTGTGGAGAAGAGCCAACTGTATAAGTAATTTGAGTACCAAATGTTCCATTGCCTTTATTGAAAAAAACACCCACATTACTTGAACCACTGTTTACGACAACAATATCAGGTTTGTTGTCAGTATTTAGATCAACTGCTGCTATTGATATCGGAGTAGAGCTAGTTGCATAATTATTTTGAGTAAGAAAGGCCCTATTACCTATGTTAAGCAGAACGCTGATGCTGTCTGAATTACCGTTTGCGACAATAAGATCGAGTTTGTTATCGCTATTCACATCGGCGACTGCTACTGCGCGTGGACTATCACGAACCGTGTAACTATTTTGAGGAAGAAAAGTGCCATTACCTGCATTTAGAAGAACACTAACAGTACCGTTTGCAGCATTAGGAATAATAATATCTGGTTTGTTATCGGCATTCACATCAACTACCGTTACAGATTGTGCCCAAAGACCACATGGATAAGTAGTTTGAGGAAGAAATGTGCCATTACCAATATTGAGATAAACACTGACGGTGGATGAGCTAGAGTTTGGAACCACAATGTCGGGCTTATTGTCACTATTGACATCAACTACTGCACTTGTTTGTGGATTAGTGCCCGTTGAGTAAGTAGTTTGAGAACGAAATGTGCCGTTGCCTGTGTTGAGAAGAACGCTGACATTATTTGAACTATAATTTGGGACAACAATATCGGGCATACTATCGCCATTGACATCGACTGCTGATACTGAATATGGACTGCTACCAACATCATATGTAGTTTGATTTGAATACGTGCTATTGCAGACTATAAAAAAAAAGAAATATTTCTTTTTTATCTGTAATGATCGAAGAACAGTATCTAGTAGTTACGTTTTATTAAATCATCACGCTTTTATTGCAAATAAAACTAGAGTGACTAGTAAAATCATGTAATATTACTATGGGCAGTCGAGAGCATTTGTCTCTAACTTCTGCTTTTGTATGAATGAATGAATGAATTCATTTGACTTTTGTATGTTTCAAACTAAGCTTGCACTCATTTAATGCATTTTTATCATTCTTTACTTCGCTATTATTGTGGCAAAATCAATTTGAGGGTGTGGGTATGAATATGAGCGGGTGTGACTGTCAATATTATATTTTTTTGTAACTAACACAAACTCCACTCACACCCTTGCTTGATCTTTTATAAGAGATTATACTTTTTTTATTTTATTTGCGCTTTACTTTTCTGTGCCCATCAATCACCAACCCAAAATTATTATATAATCAAATTTTTTTGTATATTTTACTAGAATTACCACTTACCTGTAAAACTACTAGTAGTTTCTTGAATGACAGAAGTAGTCAATTGTATATCATCAATTGGTAATGAAATAAAGTAAACTGAACTATTCGAATTACTCACTAACGACACTTGACTTGTTACAACAGATTCGGAGAATATTTCACATGTTTTATTATTTCGAAAATAATTAAAAGAAGAAATCGGTGTTACATTCATCAGCATCAGACAAATACATTGATCACAAGTGCTATTGATAATTGTTGTCGAATTAAAATGTGAAACATGCATAGAAACATTATGGATCACTGGAACTTGTGTTAAACTACCAGAAACTATTTGCATATATTGAAAGAAAAAAGTGCAAAAAAAAGTAATCCACATGTTGCTGTTTGAATAGTGGAAAGACTGTAATAAATTACTAGTTATAGATTGATCGTTAATTTTTTTTTTGTAAAAAGTATTTTATAGAAAAAACGACACTAATATTATCGAAATGTTTGTTCAGAATTTATCGTAAAATGTACGATAATTAACAAGGTACGATTAAGTATTTGTTTTCTTCGGCTGCTACTTTATTTGACAGAAGTAATAGAACATGAAGATCGAAGAAAGAAAAAAAACTTATTTGTTTGTCATTCTCTTCGTCGATCGTTATATATCTGATTAGTATTTTGACAATATTCTAATATAAAGAAAATATTGTTTCTCTACTGCCGGAAAGAAAGAATTTGTTCACGTAAACTAATTATTTAATCAAGTTTACATTACATATAAATTGTAGGTGAAACTATTAAAACTTTAGTGTGAAAGATATGAATGAATAATGAAAAAATATTCTTGAGGGTGGGTGGGTGTGTGTGAACAAGAAGATTATCTACACTCACACCCTCAAGATCATTATTTATATAAGAAAACGCGTGTAATTGGTTTTAGTCAAGTATAATATTATTAATTGAATATTTTTGTTTAGTTTCATTTTAAATTACATAAGACGAGTAAGTTATTTCGAAATCTATTGAGATAAAAAATTTTTTCGCCAATAAAAAATGCGAATTAATAACAGAACGAAAAAAGTGAGTAATGAATATATAGATGGCGACTATTTCTTTCATCACTATTACTTAACATATATGTAATTACAATAAGTAAATATCATAGTACAAAATTTTGTCTCATTTTCCTAACCATGCAATTAAATACAATTGATGTTTCTTGTCGCGGACCAACTGCAACAAGTCATTGGAGTAAGTTATTAAATTTCTTATCCTACTAACAAAGAAGACAGTTTTTACTTTATTTAGTTATACCAGGATTACTTCTATCAAGTAGATATCCAGGTTCAGCAGATTCTGATGAGCATCAATGCATAACACGAGCTATATACGATTGTGGTATTGAAGTATTTGTTAATCTTATGACACCAAAGGAATTTACACATTTTACTCCATATGAACAACAGATTCGACAATATGCTCTTCAAGGTTATCTTTTGTTTTTTTGTATGAATCTCAATTTGTAAAAGTATGTTTTTATTTAATATGTAGACAGTCGAAACGTTGAATTTATATCATTTCCAATTGGTGATCAATTTATTTGTCGAGACGATGAAAAATTATTAGATTTTTGTTTAAATTTATCTAAAAGAATTAAAGAAGATCATCAAAAAATTCTTATTCATTGTCGGTAAAATAAGAGAAATCTTTCAAAATCAAAACTAGAGATAACTAATTTTTTTTCTCTATAGGGGAGGTCATGGGCGAACTGGTACAATCATGTCTATTCTTATTGGAATATTATTTGATTTAGAAGGTAAATACATTTGAATATTATTTTTATTTTTTCATGAAATAATTATAATAAATAGCCGATGATGCAATGAATCATAATTTTCTATCACAGCAACAACGTTTAAGAATTAAAGGAAGAACAAGTCCAATGCATCTACGTATGTTAATGTATATGAAATTATTATCTTTGATTATATATATTTTTTTGTTTAGGTCAATGCGAACAAGTACGAAAAGTATTAAAAATGTACAAGGAACAACAAACTGATTTAATTAATCGAGAAATATAGAAAAACAAATTAATAACTATACTGATTTTTTAGAACTATTATCATAAATGCATAAGATAATAAAAATATTTAAAGAATAAATAAAGTCAAATGATTTGTTCGAATTCTAAATTCATAAGCTTTTATTGCCTGTCTTTCTGTTATAAAATAAGGGAAGTGGCTATGTGCACCCAAACAGTCAAAAAAACATATTTAGGAAAAATTAAGTTAGATCAGTCTTATATGCACTTGATTTTTAACACATTTGAAATACTTTAACTTAATAGTAATTTCATATTATTAACTCTTTAATATATTTGAAAAAAAGGTACAAATCAAATATTATAATTACATGAATATAAAAGAATATTAATTTACATAGATATCTTGAGGGTGCGACTGTAGTGTCGGTGACATGCTACTCTTGTTTCTTA